ATCTATCAAGTTTTGCATCCCGGTACCAATACCGCGGAAAATACGGAATTTATTCCTTCGTTAACGGAACGTCCGTGTGTATCGTGGATATAAAGTGCATCGTAAAATGTGCATCATCTCGATGTTTATCATCGTGCTCGCGCTCGCACACACGAGCAACAAAATACTTGCTCGCATTCCCTTCCGTCGCCAGTGCGTGGAACATCTCGAGCATGTCTAAGGTTGTTAACCCATTGGCATGGGCGAAAATTACGGTTTAGAGTTTTCCGCTTTGTACATGAAAAACTTGATGCAAATGAGTGAAAATAGAACATTGCGCGAAAAATTTTACGAACTATTACAATATTTTATTTTTAGCGATAAATATAATCAATAAAATTCACGTTCTTTACTTTTTAAAATTAAATTGAAAGAATTGTCATGTGCAATTGTTGAATAAAAATTTGAAAAATATTCAAAGGATTGTTATAAAAAAGAGAAAGAGAGAGAGAGAGAGAGAGAGAGAGAGAGAGAGAGAGAGAGAGAGAGGTGATAAAATCTTGATTTGTATAAAATGAATTTGTATATTTGCTGCTCTTTTACAATACGATTGGACAAAAAATGTAGTGGTCCCAAGGTTAAATCGTTTTTAAGTGTCAAGTATATTCAAGGCTGCGAATATACGTTACCACGCATTCCATGATTGAATTTTTGTGCACGTGGGATGTGTCTGTATTCATAAATAATTATGTTTAAGACTTGTCGCGCGCAGAAGTGCATTTTTACGTACCCTTTTTATTTTTTTTTATATTTTGGACTTGTAAGTGTATCTCTTCTCGATATAAAATAATTATATTCTTGATGAATTTTAATGTAATGTCTCTTTCATATATTATTATTCCGTCTGATACAAAATTTGCTCCAATATTTATAAAGTTTTACAAAGTAATATTTTAGATATGCCAAGTTTCTGAGATATTAAATTTTACGTTCATTTCGACTTGCATACGTCGATTCGCATTCGTTTCTTTACTTGAAAGAAGAATTAAATCTATTTGAAATATTAAATCTATTTGAGGATATAAGAAGAATCTTAAAATTTAGGTATCTCGTAAGACAACTCTAGATAAGAAAATATATGATATATGAAAATTTTTTATTTTCTATATATAAAATTGAGAAAAATATCTACAAAATATATGCAGTCATTTTACATTCTAATAATTCTTTAGTTTCTAATGACTTATTCTGTATATTATATTGATTTTTGAGACTCTGCTATACCTATGTGAAAATCTAGAATTCAGAGCGTCGATGAGGAATTCTCGGCATGCAGGATCGAAACGCATTGGTAACTTTGGTCTCTTGGAGAGGCGTACCGAAGCCCACTCACCTTCTTTCCTTTTCCCTTCCCTTTTTGCCGTGACTGCTGTGTGTTAGGCCTCCGTTGAGATCCTTAGGCCAGCATTAGAACCGCGTTGCGAACAGGAATTCTTTCACGTCGAGTCGTAGCTACCTTCGGTGCGTGAGAACTCGCTGGCGAAATAGTTATATTTAATATCTTAAACGATCCGTAATTTTATTGTGCCTTTCCTTATTTTTACAATTCGTATTCCACTAGATTAATGTTAGTCTTTTTTTAAGCTTAAAACTAGAAATAAGAAAGTTAAACTTAAAATATTTGATTAAATAATATATAAAAAATAATAAAATATGTAAATATGAATTGAAATATGTGATAAAATTAAAAAGGCCATGATTATTTTAGATTTAGACTTTAAAATAAATCGAAAAAATACAATATAGTGTAGAGTTTTTAGTCTCGAGGAAAATGACTTTTAGCTATATGCTGAAAATTTAAAAACACAAAATTTGAGAGAAAGAGAGATTTATATACACAATTATTATCGTAGTTCTATCCGAGCCGAGCCAAGTACGCTTGTTGCTTTTTTTCTCATTAGCGATAATCACAGTCAAGATTAGAACAGTGTAATTTAAATAGAAAAATTCACTGATTCTTGCTTGGAAACATAAGTTATATTCAATGTAACGCTGACGATCCTAAACGCTTTTATCAGATTATCAAATCAGCTTATTTTATCGTAAATTGCGTAATACTATCAACTTGATGTGCGATATAATTCTGTGACCTAAAAAAATTCGCTGGCATATAAAATCATATGTACTTTTAATTGAATGACCAGCTACTAAAAATGACAATAATTTCTCTTTCTCAGCTCGTTGAAAATATTTTATAAAATGTCATCGTGATAATTTATCTCTGCTCGCCGGATATGGATTATGGAATCAATCCAAAATTCAAAATACTCGAAGCAATCAAAATGCGTAAGCGCGTTCTGATTATTAATTTATATCTTTCGTTCTGATTAAATCTGCGTACATTTACGTCTACGTGTTTTTGTGTATTCTTGTGTACGTTTATGCCTATTTTTATTGATATTAAATCGTAAATTACATAACTATATATACATTTATGACGATTATATATATATAATCGTCATAAATCTATTAATTTATATGTAAATTAATATAAACGAGAGTAGGTGTGGATGTTCGATACATGTGGACGAGGTTTTGTGTGAACGTCTATTAATATATATTATGATTTAATATATTATTATTTATGAAAGAAATTTTCAATGATTTTTAACATATTGTAAGTATTTTTTTACTTATACCACGCAATTATACCACGACCATTATTTCATGTAAAGAAAAGCCCATATTAACAACACTACTTATTTGTCATTGTACAAAATGGCAACCGATTGGCGTGTCTGTCACATAACAATGCTTTCTTTGCGTTCTCACGGTATCTTATCCCATCTCCGGTAAATTGGAAAATTACCTCCAACAACCTGCCGACGTCGGTGAAAGCGAATCGAAATTATTTATCATTTAACAAGAATCTCATTATTAATTCCTACATACCAGTAGATTTACGTTTATCGGCCGATTTAGCTCCTAAATCATTAAAGAATCGCAAGAATTTCGAAGCGAAACGCATGACTGCTCGCACGATTAGAAGCGCTTGTTTGCACTTTCGAAACTATAAACGGGCGCATCGAACTAAACAATTAAATCACAATTCAATGACTCGAAGAATATTTGTACACCAATAGAAACAAAGATCCACGTAAGGAGATGAAGAGAAATTTTATATAATTTTTGTATAAATCACAATTACTTTTATTTTAATTGTATTATAATTAGATTACTCATATTTCTAAATATACAATGTCTCTGCAATTATTTTTCGAGAAACTTCGAAAGTTTTATAAGCGTCTTATATTTAATACTTTAAGAATGGATTTTTATGATTTATTTTTTGGAGATTTCGTTGCGTATAAAATAAATCGCGCATAATATCGCAGGAAATGCATAATTTTTTTTCAACAAGTTCACGTAAATTCGTTAATATGACTTGATGTTATGAAAGAGTGTGTATGATGATCAATTGTCATGCTGTTACGTAAATGCGATTGACAACTCGCAGTTGTTGAATATATTTACGGAACTCATTGAAGAAATGTTTACATCCTACGTAATATCACGAGGCTCATATATATAGTAACGTGTTAAATAGAATTAATAGAATGCGTACAAAAACCTTGATTTAATACTGATTCAATACACTGCACAAAATACACATACTTATACCTGACATGAATTTTTATTATGTACAATGTGTGTCAAAATCGATAATTTATGGATTTTTTATATTATTTACGTTCTTCTCTTAATTTTTCGAATTACGCGTTTGCTTATGCGGTTAACACTACAGGAGAATGATTATAAAGGAATTTCTCTAGGAGCAAATTTAGAATTTCACATTTTTCGTACCTACATAGTTATGCAAAAACGAATCATCATCCTCGTTTCTTTTCTATCGGGAAACCATCGATGAGTCATCGAGCGTAGATTCTGTGATCTATATGATGCATCAATTTCCACATGCGACACAATAAATCTTGTTAGGTTCAGAAAATGCTCAGAAAATTAAGAAGCAAAATATTGCTACGATATCGATTTTATCACTTTGAAATTACTCATACAATATGCAAAATCTCAACGAATTATCCTTTCTTGCAATCAAATTACATGTATAAGAATTATATATTTTAATTTTAATTTTTAATGTTTTAATGAATATTTTAATATTCATACAAAAAATATATATTATAGGTATATAAAATATTTGAAACGTTGAGTAAACCATCTAAAAATCATACTTTAATTGATAATTAAATCAATCGTATAGATTATTTCCAATAAATAGAGATAATATTGTATATTACGTAAAATGTGTTACGCTAAAGAATGTGATATTTAGGAAATATTAAGACACGTTAATCGTGCGTATAAGAATCGTGTTTAATGCAACTACGAAACAGGTATAGAAGGAAGTGAAAAGTGGACGGGGCGCGCGAGTTAAACGGCAGTGCGAAGTGTTCGAACGAGTAGTGAACGATTGGCTCCATGAACGTAAAGTTTCTTCTTCGAAAATGAAGTTTAGTAAACCGGGAAGAGGAGGAGAGGGAGAAAGAAGCGCGCACAAGAATTCCAGACATGTCTGGTAAACGAATTAAACACGTTGGAATTTCACTTTGACGAGAGGCAAAGGAGCTGCTACTTTCTGTTGGCTTTCTTGAGCACCAAGTATGGCACTGCTGACCCGATAGCCGGATATACGGCACGACGTGCGACGTGCAAGTATCGACGTTGATCGTTGCTGTCATTAAGTTATTGAATCCGGTTCCCCGCGCCTGGCAACACGACAATATCCTTACAACTAATTGCACGATCCGAAATAAAAAGACGGCGAAACCGCGCGCAGGCACGCATAAATTTAAACGGACTCTCGCGAACGCAAACTCCGGAGGCCAATTAAGATTTTCGTACGCCCTTACTCGTCCGTGACGAATTATTACCTGACACATAATTCAAAGCCTCTTTTAGCGATACGTTTCGTAATGGGAACTTTGACTCCTCTGTTTCAGTTATAATCATCGCGCGCGGCACATCCTGGTTACCATGCCGTACTACAACAGTGGTCATAGTCCCGCTTACAACAAAGGTGAGCAACCTGCTCGTTTGGATTATACCGTGGAATTAAAAAGCTAATTACATTTCAGAATAAATTATCATTCGCTAATGTACCGTTTGTCTGGCAATTTCATCTGACTATCACGAATCCCTCGGAGAAAATAAAGACAGAAACTTGTTACTACTGTTGCACTATACGTATAATATAAACTCCGCCGCGAAATTGAAGCGAATAACAAATTGAACAAATTTAAATATCATTGCGCACTGTTTTCGAATGAAATAATTGAGAAAAATAGATTGAAAAAGAAAAAAACGAGATTATGCAAATTGATTAAAGAATTGAAAGAAAATTTATAACTAATCCTTTGTATTATTTCGTAAGAATAGAGAAATGAAGAGGAATTAATATATCGAAGGAAGAAATTTGTAAGTTAATTATTTAAGACGATCAGTCTCACATTTCAGATGGCGGCTCGAGTGGCCCGTCGAGCACTTCTGGCGGTCGCGCCAGCTCAGAGCCGACATATATGATGGAGCACTTGGCCACGTTCACCGTCACGAAGGAAACCGGTATTGTTTATCCGGCGGATGGTATGCGCCGCCTTCTACAGCTGGAGAAAAGCAATGGCATCTGGAGTCAAAAAATGCAGCTCCGTCTCGAACGAAACTGGGTCCTTATCATGGATAACGAAACAGGGGTAATTTTTTTTTTTTTTTTTTTTTTTTACACTGATCAGGTTCTACCGATCCGAAATACACGACCGGGGATAACATGGTTGCGGAACTTTACGACGCTTTTAATTAAATTCATACATTTTATCGCGTTTACGATCTTAAATATAAAGAACTATTACAATATCCAGGGGGCCATAATAAAGTGATGTCGTAAACGAAATTAATTGTTCGACATGGTTGAGGATTATCTATATAATTTATATCAACGTCTCGATCAATTTGTCATGTCACGCGAGAAGATTGTTACTAAGTATACGTATGTATAATTGGCAGCAATTTCATTTAACTAAGTACGATTAAAAATTTCAGGCCATCATGGAGCGGTTCCCGGCTTCCTTGATACAGGAACCAACGGCATTTACGTCGAGAGATCCCATGGAGATGTACAACAACATTTTGGTGTTCACGGTGGCCGACGATAGTGGTTCCGGCCAGCGAGCAGAGATGCACATATTCCAATGTCAAAGTGTATCGGCGCAGGACCTCGTCGAGGACCTGAAGATGCTGCAGATGGGAAAACTGGTCACGGGTAGCTCACCCCGCGGTCCTAGAGGGCACATTCCACCACCACCTGCTTTACCACCCCCGGAACCACCCTTAAACGGCGTTAACGTCAGGGAACAGGTGTCTGCTTTTAATGCGGCAAATGGTGAGTACGCAATTGTAAAGAAAAAGTAATATTTTCTATCGAAAATAACGTTGCTGACAAATTTTTATCATTAATGCAATGCAGTTGAATACAAATAGAAAACTTATGTTGAAAAATTAAAAAGTTTATGCGTTCTATTTAGTATATAATTGAAGCTCGCTGTTCTGCGCGTTTCTTAAATAGATAATAATAATTATAGCGTTATGGTATATTAAATATCTCTATGTGTGAATTTCATTCAGCAGATGGGCAAAACGATATGTCTCGAGAGGAGAACAACGACGAAGTATCGTCAACGTCGTCGGAGAAGTACGAGCGCGACGTGACGATCTTGAATCACTGTTTTGACGACATCGAAAAATTTATCGCGCGTCTGCAGCACGCAGCTGCCGCATCTCGGGAGCTAGAACGCCGACGACGTAACCGGAAGTCAAAGAAGAGAAACCTCGGTGACGGTATGCTCACGATGAGAGCAAAACCGCCGCCCGAGATGGAATTCATTGATATATTCCAAAAGTTCAAGCTTTCGTTCAACCTGCTAGCCAAGCTCAAAGCACATATCCACGATCCGAACGCGCCAGAACTCGTACACTTTCTCTTCACACCGCTCGCGCTCATCGTGGACGCCTCTCACGATACTAATTACGATCCGAATTTACCCAGTAAAGTGGTGTCACCGCTCCTTACGCGAGAAGCGGTCAATCTGCTGATAAATTGCGTCACCAGCAAGGAGACCGAGCTCTGGCATTCGTTGGGCGACACGTGGTTGATTCCACGCGATCAATGGAAAGGACACGTGCCGCCATACCATCCGATCTTTATGGACGGCTGGTCACCGGAGTATCCTATTCCCGAAGACAGGGATCACGATCATTTGGCGTCCTTATTAAACGCGGACAAACAAAAGAGGGATGAGTTACCAGAACAGCAGAACGATCCTTATTACAATCACCGCGACGTGGATGAATCGCATTACAGTAGCGATTATCTGGAGTATGAGAGCCGAGAGGAGCGTGGTGGTAACGAATACTTTGACAGGAATTATGCTCCGAGCTCAGAATTGTATGGCCGCGAGGAGAGAGTGGATCAGACCAGGGCGCATAGTGACATTTCCGTCGACTCGATTGAGAGAGCTCCCAGAGCAGCGGCAGGTATAGAGAGAGCGCAGGAGGCTTGGCTGGATGAATTGGTAGCACGCCACGCCAAAATCGTGCAAGTCACTTATCCACGGACGGCGAACAACGATAAAGAGCTCACGGTAGTCAGAGGCGAATATCTGGAGGTTCTTGACGATAGTAGGAAATGGTGGAAAGCGAGGAACTCTCGAGGGCAGGTCGCTCACGTGCCACATACCATCGTTACGCCCCACAATCCCGCTACTCATTCTGCTGACAATGACGTCTTTAACAATCCTCTATACACCAGTAGATATCCAAGGCAGGGGCACGGCTATAATTATGAGGTGAGAGTCATTAAAAGATATCAACATATTTTCGGATGAATTTATCGATGAATAATTATGGACAGTAAAAGAGAATATATGTATATGCACGTTTGTAGATAGTTAGATGCAAAAGTAGAAACATAATTATGTTGGATTGTTGTATATGTTACAGGATTCGGAGATTGAAAGAACTAGCACTAGTCCAGGTCCGGAAGCCACTCATCGAACACACGCGATTCCGCCGCCAGCTCCTGCTGATTGGGTGAGAAAGGAAAGACTTGGGAAAAAAGGTGAATTTCGGTACTTTTAAGTCATTTATCGAATTCGCGATTGTATACCTGTTATTTTTTTTTTTTTTTTTTTAATCACTTTTGAACAATTTTTGATAATTAGGAAAGTTGTCAAGTTATAAATTTCAATTTTCAATCGCCACTTATATATAAATAAGATTTCTTTAGCGATAACGAATGTCTTCCAAAATCGAAAGATGCTGTCTTGATCTGATCGTAACATTAAAGTCAATATATTATTAAATCCAACAAAGCTAATATACATAAGAGAATGCGCATCACGTTAGCCTGTAAACGAATTGTAGCATAATTAACCGTTAGATCATCGTCTAATTATTAGCATTTCAATTAGCATACTCGTGAAGGGATATTGTAATATCTGACGATTATCTTTTGAGCATGTACATATGTGAGTGTAGACTGTGTGAGCCATTCATACGATTGTAACGGGGGGACGTGGTATTCTAAGCTCTTCGCATAGCAATTATTCTAATATATGTATCGTTCATAGAGTGATACCGGTAAATTTTGTTTTTGCTCTCATCCTCCTCCTTGGAGTCAAGGCCGTTGCCTATCTCTTGCATGACCTGTAACGTTTGCAGCAAACTGCACGGTCAGGTTGTTGAAAGAGTTAATAATAAGTATGAAGAAGAATTCTAATTGCATCAAGTTATAATAATTTATTTCATATGATATGACTATTTACAATAATTTTTATTTTCTCAAACATATAGATTGATGATTTTTTTTGTTGACTTTCTTTTATCACGGATGTTTCCGTTATCACAGATACAGACATTGTAATTAATGATAATCAGAAATGAAAGTGCAATGGCGATATAACAAAGATATCGAGGGGGATCTACTTCCCAACGTAATATGACGTATTGTCAGACACTTTAAATAAAAGATTTAAGATTTTGGGACCACGTTTAGTGTGAAATTAATTAATAATGAGATCTGTTAGCTATTGGGTAGCAGTGACTATCAACCACATGTAAAAGCATTTTCATTGAATCACGAATCTCGCAACGCGCTTAATTAAGTGAAAATATCGATAATGACAATCGTCCAGCATTTAACGTGGTTGAGAGTTACCAACTATAGTTTCTAATGCTATATTTCTGATATTCGATTGTATCGTCATATATAACTATGTTATCTTTTGTATTTATCGACTAACCAAATTTAGCTGTGTAGTTTATAACGACCGAAAAAAGAATCGATATACATATTATATTATTATATATATGAAAATGTTACATTATTGGGCGTTAGATCTTAGACCCGCTAAGATCGGATATTTTCTTCCGTTAAAAAGTAGGTATTTACTAATAATAAAGCAATGCAAGTTATATGGAGTATAAAATGATTTAAGTATCATGCTTACATGTAAACGGTTAAATTAGTCGGGACGATATATTATATCCGCATTAGATATATATTTCCATGGAAATTATAATTGTGTTTGTCCTTTGTCCTTATATACTGGGGCTTCATTGCGAGACAAAAATTCATCTTGATAAAAGCTCTTGATAAAAATTCTCTGGGAGAATGTGCAGGAAAAAGGAAAAAATGATTTTTCTGATACCACAATACGTTTTTCACGTTCATCTCTTTATTTTATCAATAGCTTTTATTGACGAAACAAATCTTTTTGCCAATCCTGCTTGTACGTGTGTCATTGTCGCATGCATTTTGTATGTATCAATGTAAATAAGCTTGTACAAACAGTCGAAGGGAATACGAGGAAAAAAGAGCTGTAAGAGGAATGAGAAAAAAAATGATATACACGATATATTTTCACAAAATTTAAAAATAAGTATGAGAGATACAAAAATACAAGAAATTGGCGAACGAGATCTCCTGCAATAGGTCTTCATATCATACGATTGATATCAATTTCGTTGTAACTCGAGAGCTAAGTTTCTCTCGATAAATGTATTTCTGATTCTAAATCTTTACTTACCGATTTAAAAAAAAAAAAAAAAAAACAGAAAAGGTACAAGCGTAAAACACGGAATTGATGTTATCAAATTGATGCTATTATTATTTTTTTGCGACTTGCATTATTTATTGTCGTATATTTAAACCTACATCAAAGTGTTGACTTAAACGAGATAATAATAACTAGTCGACCGAGAAGTCAAATAAGCAATATAATAAACGTGGACAAACAGTACAAGCTCTTGTTATTCTTTCTCTGTTACAGATGTATTCTCTTCATATTCCTTTATTTATTGTTAGATTGTGATGTTACATCGTAATCATATCGATAAAATGCTCTTTACAACATGGTAATGTCTAAAGACGTATACTTTTCATGAGGATTTACATAAACGAGGATTTGTATAAAGGGAAAAAAAAGTACGACTACATGCTATCTTCTATCTTTTTTTCGCGATCGATCCGAGTATTAGTTTGACATTTATGTGTGTGTCCACGGGCCGGGAATGCGATCCGTCAGTATTTCATTATACTGTAATTTTTTTATGTGTGTGTACATCACTTATTATTAATAAACATTATATTTGTGCGAGAAATCGTCGTTGTCCTGATCGTCATTCCTCTTGTCTCCTGTGAATCGCAATGACTATTAGACGTAATTATAATATCGTTTTGTTATATTTTATTCAAAGATACCTTGTTTATAGTGCAGTGACGTAAATACGCAACTTGTATGATAAACATGCATATATGACGAAGCGCGATTTATAAACTTGATATTATTAGAAATTAAATTTCGACTTGTAGAATCGAAAATATTACAATATTATGGCGCTTAAATTACATATGCTTAGTGCTCGTCCAATACACTTAAGACTGTGTGTAGTTTATGTGAAAGCTTTGGGGGTAAGTTATAGCCTTTCCACGTATTTTAATAGTTCGTCCATGCGTTATGATTTATCCATAGATGAATATACTCGTGCGATAATTTCTTATCTCGCGAGGATTATTATATGCAAATTAATTTTTTGCGAAACTGTTTTACAGACGACGTTAGTGCGTACAACGGAGCCATCAGTAATAGCAGTAGATCTAGTACTTCTTCCATCGAGAGCGTCTCTCAGTCGAACGGAAAGTTTAATACGCAACAAAGCATCGTAGAAGTGCACTCGCCACCTCGCGATATAATATTAGACGTAACACCCGACAAGCTAGCGTTACCGCCTGCGCCGACATCACAACTAGAGCTACCCGCATCGAAATCGACGCCAGCCCTATTCGCATCGAAATCAGCACCAACGTTATCCACATCGAAATCAGCGCCAACACTATCTGTATTGAAATCAGCATCAATACTACTTCCATTAAAATCAGCACCAGCATCACCTACGCCGTCATTAGATTTATCGATGACACCTCCAACGCCTCCACCACTTCCACCACCGCCACCGCCGACACCAATAGGATCTACCTCACTGCTTCAAACCGAAAAATCTTTGCTGTCAACTTTTATGCTTCATAAAGCGGAAACTCCCAAAAATAATAAATTCTCCAATGGTAAGTATTTACAGCTTCACAATTCCACATTAATAATCGTTATTATCTTGTTAATTTATCTTATATTTGTTAAAACTTGATTTCACTTGCAATAGGATGAACCATGTAATTAAATGTAATTAAATGAAAGTTTTTATAATTAGCAATTATCATATTATTGAATATATTTGTGGCACATACTTCCAAAAGGCATCTTCAGTCAAGAAGAAGTTCAAAAGGAGCTTAAGTTTGTCCTGAGGATATTTCGAGAGAAGAAAGCGAATCACTTTAGTAATAACAACTCGCAGGAAATTTGGTTGAACCAACATTCGACTCCTCGAGAAGTTCAAACTTGGTTAGCAACCAAAGGATTCTCGCAAAAGTATATTGAATGCATGTAATCCTGATATAACAGAACTCGTAATCTATTTATTATTTAATCTATATAAGCATATTTTACTTGCAGAATTTGCAAACAATTGGAGGATATGAATGGTACGGAATTGTTCAATTTATCACGACGGCGACTGGAACAATTGTGCGGATTGTCTGAGGGAAGCAGGCTCAACGGGCAATTAACTTTAGCGAAAAATGAATGTGAGGTAAATATATGTAGATATACTTTAATGAAAACAAATCCTGCATTTTTTATAATACTTTTCGAATTTTTTCAGTACAAAACTGCCCGATCGTCAGAGCTCAAGCAAATTTTAGATAAAGCGCGACGAAGAGCAGAAAAGTTAAATGATAAGGATGAAGTTCAAGAATGAATCATAATGTTCTATATTCTGTATGTGAATTGGAAGGCTGCAAGAATGATGCAAATATTGAAACAAAACATGCAGGTGCTTCGTTGTTACTGCGAATTTAGAAAAATGGAAGATAAAATACAAAAATATATATTTTTTCATAATTTTCCATAGGAAGGTACCGTGCCATCGAAAAAATTTATTGTGAAATTATTTTATTTTATCTTATATGTTGTGATAATTATTTATTACGATCAGTTAAAGCGCATCGGTAAAGCGTGAGGTTTTTAGTAAACTAGCAAACATGCATTATATATAATACATTAACTATGATGTTCTTTTTTGCGAGCAATATTATTAATTTATCTATTTTAACGAACTTACTCATAGAAACAAACAGAGAAATGTATAATATACACACACGCACAGGCGTACACGCAAGTTGTTTCCCAGTGTGTTGTTTGAGTCCAGGACTCAATTGAAGCATTTAATTTGAAACAGATTTATTATATGTGTATGTGTGTGTATGTATACACATATAAAATAAATAAAATCGCTAGACTCAACAGCAACATATTAAGTTGATGCACTTTAAGTTAAATTTAAATGTTTAATTGTAATGTAGTGTAATTAAGTTTAATATTGCAAAAAGAATATAATATCGAATGCAGTGATATTAGAAAATAGCAATTAAATTAATATACATCATAGTATGTATGACATAAATACAATATATAATATGGTATAAGTATTATCAATTTATCCTCCAAATAATTAAATCATTAATTAATTATAAAAAGGGTAATAACAATCAGTGAAATATATCTTTCCTACATACCTTCATTCTATCTTTTTTACGTTACGATAAATATATTAGATCTACGATAATCTGTTTAAAGTTAATATTAAGGAAAATCATGAATTACGTGACTTATATTATTATTATATTATACTATATTTATTAAAAGCACATACATTATAACAGACATAAATAGGACACTCTAGATGTGTCATGTCGATAAACTATACATTCTTTCCGAATACTCGACACGAAGTCACATAACGTGAACACATTGATAATTATAATATGCTATTTGTTCTTAAAAGCACTCTTCTATATGCCATTTAAATAAATTATGATCACCGTAGTTATCCAACAGTGATAACATAAAAATCTTTGACACTGGCATAAAATATCAACAGCATTACACGCAAAGTATAACTCTTCTGTGAAGTTAATTGATAACAACACGTTAAAATATTTATGTGCTATATAAGATACTTTATGAATCAATAATTGTCTTATATTTTGCTTCATTGTACTTATAATGCTCGAAATGAAATATTTATTACAGTTTTTTTTTTGTTAAATGTATAAATCTTTTGCAAAATAATTCGGAATAATTTCATAAAATTGATACACGATACATATTTAAGAGATAAAAAACTTGCGCAAAAAATTTTGTGCGTTGATGCAACTTCTAGAGAAGTTACATTAAATTATATGAATTTCTCTCTTTTTCTCTCTCGCTCTCTCTTTCGTTTCAAATAAACATATCTCACATCTTGATTACCAATAGAGATGCCTAGAAATGTCTGCAGAATTCCGATAGAAAATCTATTAGAAAATTTTTGATTTCTAATGTTGCTTTGGTCTTTCATACTTTGACTTGCATAAGTTCTAGTCGTAAGACTAACGGTTCTTTTACACATGAATGATTACACAATTAATACTTGTTATGCGATGATGACGACGATTATGTGAATACAATTTATTATTCCTTATTATTATTATATACTATATCAATGAAAATTCAATATTTTCAAATATATTCAAAGTGTTAATTTAAAAATTTAATATCTAATAAAATCTAATAAAAATCTAATAAAAAACTTCATAAATAAATATAACTTTATTGGTGGCTTAATGTAAGTGTCGTAACTTAAAATACTACGTCTTTCTATGATTCTTTGAGCCACAATTGTTTCTTAACATAAATTCTCTTTGCACAATAAACAAATAACTGTCTTATTAATAATGTGATAATTGTGACTAATATCACATCTGATTTTGTTCACAGGATAAGATATCTCATCCTGATCATCCTTATAAATTTTCCTTTGTCAAAATTAAAGAAATCGTAATATAATGGAAGTAAAGAAAAAAATTATTTTATTCAGTACCAAAATTAATAATAGATAACAAAGAATTTGTTCTAAGCTTTATCTTGGAATCATCAGAATTTGTTCATAATAATTATAATTGCCGATTGCATGGAAATAAATTTTACAAAATACATTATATATATTATATATATATATAAAATCACATATAAAATAATTATCTTTTTTATAAATTATAAGTCTTTGTTTCAAAAACATTTCGTCCAATATAGTATTTTGCTTAGATGTTAAATACATATCTTGTGCTCTATGACATAATACAAATCATATACGTATACTTTTATGTGTGCAACAATAAATAAATCTTGAAGGAAAAATAACGGAAGAGATTTTAAAGAAAATTTATTAATATAACGTTGTCAAAAAAATTAAAGAAAATTTCTAAATATAGAAATCGGGAATAAGTCAAAATAAATGATTCAGTACGCCAATGAAGCGATAATGAAGCGAAAGTTGAACGAATATGAATATACGAATGTACAACCTATTGGCCAATGACTTCCGTATCCTCCTTCGATGGAAGAGACCTTGGTCGACAGGATTACAATGCGAAAATGATATTAGTGTAATATTTAGTGAGTAGCAAACCTGTGAAAGCAGGTTGATACTCCTTGAAATGAGAAAGTGTGTGTATCTATGTGTGTTAAACCAGATAAAACGAGTATGATAAAGGTAGAAGGAAAAGAGAAGAGAGGTGAAGTCCTATTTAGTTTTCGCATTAAGTGATCCTTATACACAAAGATTAATGCTCTTTCTTTTTGTAAAAATTACCAAAAGCCTCCTGCACTGCGCCCGCCCGGTGGATTATTTACGCGAATACATGCCCTTCGTGCTTCTTCGATATCCTCTGTAAGAAAAACGCGCTTATAATCCCACTGAATGAAGAATGAACAACAAATGAAATAAAATAAATATATTTCCCACAATTGACTTACGATATCAAAGGTCGGATAATTTAGGACTATCCCTTATTAGTATGAGACCACCAAAAAATATACATATACCACATATATCTGAAGATTTAAAATAATCTCTAGTAAGACTCACCGCTGATAGAGAAAGTAGAATCTTGTAGATTTCTTTGTCCTTCGAGTCTTGGACCCTTCGTGGATGGTGTCACCACGGCGGATTCTGGTAAAGTAGGTACACAAGTGGGGGCTTGCAATTTTATCTTTGGACTGTCGTAAAATGAACCGTTTTGATTGGCTCGTGCCGCAGCTGCCGCTCTCGCTGCTTCTCTAGCCTTTGCAATCGCAGCGTCTTCCTCAGCATGTCTCTTCGCTTCTGCTTCAGTTCTTGCGACTCCACGTAATATCTACGCAGTTGCAATATAATTTCAATTTTGATTAATTATTTAATTTTATCCTTAATCGAGTTTTAAATTAATTTAAATTTAATTAAAAAATATATATAGTTAATAATACTATGTAAAAGTAACACACAGCAAAGAAAAAGTAATGGTAAAAAGGGAAATGGAAAATAAATTGATATGTCTCACCTTTTCCTTATCATTTATCATATCATAGACATAACTGCCAAATGGATCTGCGTTTACGTATTTTCCAAAACCGTGAACCGCTTTGAGCTCACACTCGTCCACACATACGCGTCCACTGACAATCACGTATTCAGGTACGCCAGTTACTTCCATACCCTGTATATTAATATTCAAATATTAATTAAATAGTTAAACTACAGCCGCGTGAAATATTATTATTATTATTATTATTGTATAATTAGCAATAATTCATAACCCATATCTTTTTGAATAAAAATATCGTCGCGCTGAGAATACGATAGATCTTGCATTCCCACATTTTTTTTTACAACGAAAACAGTTGTCTACATACAATGCGGGTAGACAATCCACAACTATCGTTCCTCATCGAAAGCGGATGACTTAACTGAACTTGCCTCAAAGATGTTGAAGTCAACAGCCTGGACGTGAGTCTGGGCGGAAATGGTGCGTTTCCTGTTGGGATCCCAGACGACAATGTCGGCGTCCGAACCGACGGCTATAATACCCTTTCGAGGGTATAGGTTGAAGATTTTGGCGGCGTTCGTGCTGGTGACTGCAACGAATCGCGTAGGGTCCATTATACCAGCATGCACACCCTTCTCCCAGAGAACTGACATCCTGTCCTCCACACCATTTACACCGTTGGGTATCTTCGTAAAATCGTCTTTGCCTAACGCCTTTTGCTCGGCATTGAACGTGCAATTGTCACTGCCGATAACTTGAAGATTATCTCTGAAAAACAATCGTATTAATGCGTCTGAAGATTGAACTCCAAAAAGGAAAACTAAATCGCAGTTACTTTGACATCGAGTAAAGGCTAAATTAATCGAAACTACTAATACGAAATTAAATAATAATAAACATCAAATGATTAAAAATTGAGAGACGGTAGTCGTTTGATAATAGTCGTTAAACCAGCAGTTTTTCTTTCATTCATTTAATCGACATTAATGCGCTGCACCATGCAGGCAACTTCCTACACATCCTCTCGTAGCTATTAATATCCAGGCCAAGAGTTACACTTATGTCATTCTCGTCATTTTGTTATTATAATTTATCGCCATGAACGTTTGAGTGAAATACACAAGACAATAACGCAATAGTTTTTAAATCGAAAAGAAAATTCTTAAAAAAAAATAAAAAAAAAATTTAATTCAATACATATGGGGATATAAAATAAAAAGAAAAATGATACATAATAATATATGCGATGTGCCAAAACCTGAAATTTTCCTTTCATTTCCAATTTTTTCGTTCAATTGGAAATAAATATTTCTTAACAAAAAAATTTTAGTATCTTTTTATAGAGCCTTTAATACAAAAATAATCCAATGCGAAAAGGGACAACCCAGCCATTACAGAGACATCAGGTATTCTTTATGCAATCTACTTACTGGGCCAGGTGTTCGGTTAGATAGGCAGGTGTCGTTGGATCAGGCCGCAACGGCGGGTTAGTAATAAAACGCCTTGCTCTCTCCATGTCTTTGCCGTATTGCTCGCTACCATCGATACCGATGGTGCTCGCCAAGGTTTCCCCGAAAACGATGATACCGTCCGACCGCTTCGCCGACACGACATCGGCAGCCGACTTGCTTGAAATCGCCGTTATGTACAACGGACTGTTCACCTAAACGCGATATTTTTGTCCTCTCATTGAATTGCTATGTTCTCTCTATCATTCTATCTACTATCTACTAGACAAAACGATTTATAACTGAAAATAGTTTATATTAAAATTCAATAAAAATTTTAAAACACTCCAATATTAAAATTATTACTATTATCTTATATTGACTTATATCCCATAAAAACTAATATATAAATATTATAACTTTTATGGTATATTTCTACTAAATAAAGCAAATAATTAAATAGAATGTATATCATATGCGTATAAAATTATGCAATATTTGTGATTTTAATTCTAAACGTGTTTTATGAGACGTATTGATTCTACAAATGTATAAGAGTCAAAATCACAAATCAAAAAGCTATCAAATCTTTTACAGCCGTGCTCGATTTACAGATAATACTTCGTAAAAAGCTTCTAATTAAAAAACATATTTTTCTTCAGATCAACTTTTATGTAATGATTTTCACACATGTAATGCTAAGACTAATAAAAATAATCGTGAGAGAAATTTGTATACAGGCAAATAAATAAAAATAAGAGAGCAAGGAGAGAACGAAGATAACGACAGCTACTTTCAATGCATGCGAGTGGAATTTCGACGATATTGTTGAATAAATATGTTTCAGTGCGAACGGACAGAATTGTGGACGGCATTAAATTGTGCAATTTACGCATATGTCACGCATCAATTTACGCGTATGTCAAGCGTCTAGCTATAGAACGTAGAAACTTGAATTACTATTACTGCAATTGCAACCTATTTCCGTTAATCAGCGGGACAAAAAATGTGTGGAGGGTGCGAAATTAATGACGCATACACACGAGACTCGGGCCGAACGTACATAGGTACATATGCTACAACATTACTTGAAAAACATAATTTGATCGATAGAATATAAAGATAATTAGCGATAAAATCAACAAGAAAATCGAGTTTTTCTAAGATATTTTTTCTCTTATACAAATTCAACTCTTCCTTCGATGTACGTTTACTTATTTAGGAAAAGACCTGCGTTATTCCTTTTAAGTAGAAATGATGTTGATACGTGACCATTATATCGATCTCAAAAGAAAGTGTTTTCCTATTTTTGCAGACAAGATGCTATACTTGGTAAATACAATTTATTTAGGAATGCCGCCATCGGATCTATGTTTAAATATCGCTGCTTACAACTAGTAGTTTGTACTGACTCTACCTATAATAGCTTTATTGGTTTGTAATACACACATCCGACTTACTAACGGTAAAACCTCAAATTATCTGCTTGCGTATTAAATACCTATGTGATTCTACATTTAGACAATTTCATAAATTTACGTTCTAGCCTTTATATTTTCGATGTCAAAGTTATCCTAAATTCATCGCTGGCTTCGACTCACTTAGCTAACATGTTTATGAGTACTCGTGGCGTATCCGTGTCCGGTCTGAGTGGTGGACTTAGAACATAGCCGGCGGCATGTCTCCAGCATTTGTGTAAGTAGTTGGTACCGTCTGTGCCAATTGCAGCCGCCAGAGTTTCACCGAAGACACAATCACCGCGCTTACGCGCGGCCTCCACTTGCTCGCCAGCACTACGGCTCATCACATGCACTACGTACAGCGGACAATTGACCTAAGCATGCAGAATTTTGATACTAGTACTAGTAGGTGAGAGATGCAACAGTAATGCTTAAACACATTTTCAGTTGCCGGAAAATTCTCTTGTAGGAGAGAGAGAGAGAAAATAAGCAACATATATATGTATTTAGTGTGTATAAAGATAGAATTCAAAAATATAAAATTTAAAAAGATATAAGAAAAATAAGATATGGGTTTATCGGGAAAAATAAAATAAAATGATATAGACATTTTTAGGCATTATTATCACATTTTACCGCGTGACATAAATATTTGTAGATCTCGGTACGATTCGAGAATTTCGAGCATTGGGTACATGCCATGAAAAGCAACGTCCTAGTTTCTAATCTACTGAAATTTATGATTGTCCGAGAACTAAATACCGCTACAGGTAGCGTGCCAAGTATGTATATCTGTAGCAGAACTTCAAAAATAATAAAATGTAAAAATCTTGCAAGCTCGAGACAAAGTACGATGTACATCAAAACAGATAACTAAGAACGAATATACTAAGAGACTGACTAAGAGATATTAATGTTTTAGCAACGACATCATTGCGAAGCGTTCCAGCTCTTACCTGATTCGCGATAACGCACGCTCTATTCACAGCTTCCGCTTCGACCTCTTCGGGACGTGACATCTCGTGGCCCTCCGGACCGGTTACTCCTGCGGCCAGTAATTTCTTCGTATTCTGGAACAAGTTTATGACGATAGGAGAGAGCTCGTATGCTGTATTTTGCATTAAAATCCTGTTTCAAACAATGTATCTTAACTCTTTACTACTCAATACAACTTTCAAATCACATAGCAGTTTTATGGCTTAGCTTTCTTTTTATGTTCCTTTGTTCGTCGATTCACAGTATTCGAAAAGTAGACATTTAAAAGTCAGTATGTATATAAATTATTCTTATATTTTATGCTTTTAGAAAGATATTGAAATAAAATCTCGTAGATATCTCTAGAGGATATCGGCGAGGATTAATAATCAGAAATAAAGCGCAGATTTGATCTCAGGTAAGTGTGTACATATTAGCGTTGTCATCTTTCTGTATATAAGTATATATACCTCCACGATAAGATCACCGTTCTCTGCATGCACCATAGCAACGGCACCGATCTCCTTGCACGCCTTGAAAGTCTCGATCAGCTCCGGATCTCTAAGCATAAACATGTCAGGGTACGCCATGAACATTTTGAAGCTACCGACGCCGTGGTCTTTCGCCAAAATCGCCATGTCCTCTTTGACCTGTAGACAGATGAGGCAATGAGTACCGATGAATAATGAATCGCGAACGCGGCTTTCTTTCAAGTTTGTACGACGGACAGTAGCAAATAAGGGGATTAGATGGCAAATCGCTTTCTTTTTTCGTGTCCTCAGGCAATACGTGCAGTTTTCTTCGCCATCACTCGGTATTCCAGCCGCATGATCGGCAATCATAGTTACGAGAGCTGCACAACAGTCGCCAATTTATAGAACGAGTTTGTTAGTTTTCCTACATTTGGAATCGCACTGATCCAATCGCCTTCGAATGTCGATAATCAATCGTGAATGCAATAGACTCGGATCACGCTAAAACTAAACTACGGAATAGAATTAAGTTTAACTTAATAAATAAGAATTAATTAAGAATAAATTCTCTATTCGCGTCACCATATTATATATATATATATATATATATATATATATATAAAATAAGAATATAATTTGGATGAGAAAACGTGAATAATTAAATCTTGATTAATCACTAGTGTAATTGGATTACTATTAGTATCAGGGAATATTGACATTTCATGATATTCGTTTAAATAACTTTTATATCGAATTACATCTATCTTAATGAACCGAAAACTACAAAAGATAGAATTGGATTAATTTAATCCAATGTATTTCGTGCACTGTAATTTACATTGCATCCGGAATTATGTAAATTGTCATTACGTCAATTGACGTCTAGTTAACGTAATCAACGTGTAAGTCAAACATATAAATGTCATAAATTGTCGTATATTCTGAAATGTTGTAACTTTGAATCAACGGCGGGGGAAAAGGAGGTTAAATCTAAATAAATTTCCTTTTTTAGGAAGATTCGTGTTAAATTTCTGCAATTATCTCGTTCGGGTAATTAAAAAGGCAGACTAGAGAGTATTTGATATAGAATGACTTGGCGTTTGCATATTGCATATTGCACTTGTAGCGTGAGCTTGATTGACGATTGATCTTATCATAAAAGTAGAATATTGCGATATGTTAATCAGATACAATATCTAATATACCTATCTCAAAATAATTAGAAAGCAATAAGTCAATAGTTAGGAAAAATTAATCAGATTAGAAGCAGATAATTTTTATGTTCTAACAAACTTGGAGGGGGGAAAGGAATTGCAATGTATCCATTATATAATTATAGTAAGAAAAAAAATTATAAAATAAAAGATATATTCTAATTTTACCTTCGGACTCCAAGACGTGATGGCGACGTGCAGCGCATAATCGCAGCATACTTTTTGATCGGCCGACTGTCTGTATCTCTCGTAAGCTTCCAGGAGGCTCTCGTCTTTTCGCGATACCACGAAATCGATGATCATCGTGGTACCGCCAGCGACTGCGGCTTTCGTGCCCTGATAAAAGTCATCTATCGATTTGGTACCCATAAACTCGAACTCGAAATGCGTGTGCGGATCTATACCACCGGGCATTACGTATCTTCCACGAGCATCGATGGTCCTCGTGCCACCCGGAATAATGAGATTACGTCCCATTTGTCTGCAAACAAAAAATGAAAATTTTAGTCAAATAATTTCTTCGTCCTTTGCAAAACAATTAAAGAGCATACATTTCGCACCAAGGTGCGGCTCGATTAGTCAAATCAATCTCAGTTGACGTTGACACTTGAACGATTTCTACTGATTATCTAACGATTAAATGATCGGTCACGCTTGTTTGATGAATCACAGCGAACGCATAAACGTGTTATCTGTCGTCGTACATCTCATTCAATTCTAAGTGATAAAATTACCTTGACGACGACGACGAATGTATCGCATTTCGTTTACCTATGTATGTAGAGTGACGGTTAGACGCATGAGCTGAATATACCGTGATACTACAAGTTAAAACGCAAACCTCGCTATCTTTGAGAAAAGCGGGTCTGCGCTTTGCAAATTGCTCCAAGCCCAACGTTTCGCAAACGATGCGTCATACAAACGTGAAATATAAATCAATATTATGCGTCGCGTGATCAAAATGCATTTTGTATTTACATACCTGATGATGCCATCCTCGATGTAGACATCGCTGTCGATTATCCCATCGTCGTTCACAACCTTGCCATTTTTAATTAGCAATCTGTTCTGCGCGCTCTAGAATAAAAAAATATTTACATTAGTTTAACGAGAGTTTACAGTAATATATTAAAAATACGAGCTTAACGAGTCGTAAAATGATTTAACGGAGTCAGCGAACCACCTCTTCCACTATCGACCATGACTCGCCCAAATATACTGTCCTTGGTATAACGCAACGTGCATAGACTTCAACATCCGGCGTACGCAATTAACGCGTACGGCGTACGTGCGCATCGCTGTGTGTACTACGGTATTAGCAATCAGCAATGTATAAGAGAACGACGGTTCACGCACTTCCGTCAATGTACGCGATACGGATTTAGAGCATGTACGCAATGTGCGTGATTCGATAAGCGAACAGTTACCCTGTGGGTTTTTTTTTTAACAAACAAAAAATATACTTCTGTTCATTTTCGCAGCAAAAATGTAAATAAATTAGCATACGAAAAATTCAACTAGTATATAATGCTTATTATATCAATGGCGAAAATAAAAATAAACGTATCAGAAGTTTAATTACAAACTGATAAATAAGATATTTCATTTCTCCGGTATAAATGATATATTCATAATATAGAAACTGATATCAAAAGATTTAACTATTATTCGATGTCAATGATCTCGATGACCAACGAGTATGAAATGAAAAAGTATAATATAACGTAATTTCTAATTCTTTACTTCATTATTGACGTAACATCGCATCCTGTGTGTACGATCTTTATCTCCTTGGAGGAACAAATTGCGAAAAGAGAGACGGTTGCGTATATCACACCGCAGGTTGCATCGGTGCATGGACGAGCATCTTTTTAAAGGGCTCTTGTGCTTTTCGCCCTCGCGTGCGTGCGGGGAAAATATAAAAGTCCAGTCGTCCCCGACGACGAAGGGTGACGGTGGGAATGACGACGACAGGGCGTCAGGGGGAAAAAAAAGAACAATTCCTGGCTGTTGCTACCCACGCCCCAGCTAGTCTAGACCTCTTTGCGCCCCATGAAATCAGTCATGTTGGCAACGAGTTCTTCCGGGCGAGTTCCACGAGAGACCCCCTTCGATCTTGAGCGAATTATATTTTAGCCGCTCTTCTGCGTCACCGATCCTAATTCCGTATTGTTTCGCCTCAGAAAGCAATTCGATATACAAACAGATTAAATGCCACTTGCAATCCGTTTAAAAAGAGATACTCATGGCATACCTATATAACTGTGAAATCATAAATAATCGACTACATCATTTGCTATGCGAGTTTCGTATATGCAGACTATAAGGCCGGTGGCTTTGGATATTTCTCAAATAATCTGATGATATACTTTTTAATAGATCTAAGGACATTCGTTGCATCGAATTGAAAACGTTCAATAGAATTGATGCAACAGCGAATGCATCTCGATTAACCTAATATGTAAAACTAAATGCAGAACAGAAGATATATAGCGTGGGTACGTGTATTATAGGAGATACTTTATGGAAAGTGTAGAAACGCGGATGCTCGACCTTCGAATTTTATGTGCCGAGAGGCCATCGGCAGATGTATTTTACGTAGGCGGAGACCTTGTCGTCTTCAAAGTCTAGTATTAGCAGCGGCCGAGAACATATGTGTTTCATGTGTTAGAAATTGGTGCGTGAGTATTTTCGGCGAGCACGCTCTCAAGATACGTCCGCACGTATATGCGTGTATCGTGTGATTTTTTTGAGTGAAATCTTCGCGGGAGTGCCTCAAGAGAGCAATAAAATCCCATTAACTCTTAAAACCTTAAAGTATCAATTGCTGAGACTTAACTCTCTCGACACTCGCAAGTCAGTAAATTATGCAATATTTTTTCATTGTTAATTTCTCTTTCTCTGTCAAGTTGTTAATTATAATTATATAATAGATGAAATTAATAATATGTTATTAGTGCAGATTTTAATCAAAAGAACAAACTTTCCAGGATTTTTTACATCCTAATTTCCATCTGATGTAATCTAAAAACACATGCATCATATAATACACAATTTTAAAATTAATGAATTATATTAAATTAGTAGCATAAAAGAACTAATTTCAAACAAATAGAATAAATTTTTACAATCTCATTAAAAAAATGCGATTAAATAGAAAATATAACTTATTAGATATAATTAATCTCTCAATTTATTATAGTAATACAAAATTTTTCAGATTTTTCTCATAAAAATATTTTATATACAGTGTACAAATTATTGTTTAATTTATAAAGCAATTCGTTATAAAAGCGGGGTTAATACATATATCACAAAATGTGAGTTGCGTCAAGCCAGACCAGGGCTCTAGTTAAAATCAATAGCATCCGACATTTCCCGTCTATACGTCTCGAATTCGCCGCGGCACGAATAGACGCAGTTGTAAACGAAAATCCCTTATCGCAAATATCTCTTTGCGATTAGATCGCAAGCGGCAATTTGGCGTGTTAGAACGTACCACTCTCTCCCTCTCTCTCTCTCTCTCCATCTCTCAAGGTCTCTCGCAAAGTATGAGAATTGGATTCCGCTTTTAGACTTTCGGTACTAGGCGCGAGAATGCAGATAAATCGGTCTCCCAGCGAATCTCCGTTACTTTGTTGCAATATTTATGTGGCATGTCGTTTCCTTTATCAACAAGGAAGAAGCTAATAGGAGCAATATTTTCAGAAACTGCAACTCACACCTAATTTACACCGCTCATTTAATTTAATTGAAGGTAATGTCAGGTTGACTTTTCAGATATACACGCAGGATGCTTATTTAGATTGTAAAAAATTATAATTAAGATTACGTTCTAGCGTGAAAAAAAAAAGGAAATATATCAAGATATATTTTACCTTTTATCTTTATAAGAAATGAAAAGGATATCCTCTACCTCTAAACCGGTAACTTCAAACAACTAATAAAAACTGCAGTGTATCACGATGCATATCGTGACTCGGCAAACATTAGCGTGAGACACATGGCCAAATAACTTGAAATATTGCATAATCGTTTGATACATTTATAGGTATGTCTCGCATCCAAGAAGACTATAAAATGATTAAAAATATATATTGTATAAACTAAAGACGCATGGTTAACAATTTTTTTATCCTTAAAAGACTATGTATGTCTTCATCATTGAATATGATAAATGTGATTTTTTATTATAATAAACGCAAGCATAATAATATCCAAATTTCACGAACAATTAGAACAAAAATAATAATAATACTGTATATATTAAAGCTTCTTAAGAAAAGGGGATTCATTTGTTCCAAATATTTCTTCCAAGTGCATACAGTATATACTTAACAAGTATGTACACATTCAAATCATTCGCGTTTGAAAAACTCAATGTTACGCAAGGCTAAAACTATTCTTGTCAATCTATCGTACGATCGGCGCCTATTGAGTAATTGCGTGTTGCTTCTTAATGAGAGACATCGTACGTGGACGTATGTATATCTAATTCACGACAGCGTATGAAACCTACGAGAGATTTATTTGAGACGACGGTGTCGTCGTCATCACGACTAAGGCGTCCTTGGACCGTATTCCACGATCGCGTTTTACCACGTTCGCGCAAGAAGATGTAGGATACGCGTACAAGACTGGCATTGAATTGCGTGAACTACGCAAAATATATTATTTTCCGAGGTTTCCCACATCCCACTTTAATGAGAAACTAATAATAAAATTTATTATTTATTATTCTATACACGCTTTGACTGTTTCTCTCAGTTGATTTTCTTAATATTAAGAAGCTGACTGCAGTTATTTTCGTTAATATACTGATTTTGTTTATGTCTAATTTCTATAGGCCTTATGCAGTGCGAACAATTCACCTGTCTACTCTACATTTGCAACACAATGTGCACCGGAAACAGTGAACATAAGTCACACCTGGCTTCCTCTACCGTGGGCCGTTTATACGTTACGTTGCATGTTGGTGCCAGCAACGCGCGTTTCGATTGACCGACTTATTGTTAGTTGGCCTAGTCAAATTTAACACCGCATCATCGTGAAAACGCGATGACGTGCAGTAAGAAAGGATTTTGCGTGAGACTGCTTTGATCAACAATAACTGAATAAAACTCTAAGAATAGATAAACGCGAAGAGAGAAGAAGGAAACAGAGCGAGATAAATAGCTAACGAAAATTGCCGTGAATAATAGTACCGCGACATGCTTCGAAAACCATATGTGTCGATCTTTTAATCTAGTAACGCGCGCGATCACGTCAACATCACAATAGTCTATCTTACCTATCTATCAATATCAATTCACCGTCTCTGTGAAGCTAGCACATTTTTAGAACAATATAAATTATGGATTAATAATTGATCAAGTCTTGAGTTTTTGTCAAGAAATGCTAGAATTCCTCCTAGGTTCAGAAAAGGATTTTAATGATTGAATAAATAGATGAAAATAATATAGAATAAAACTTTATATACGTTTGATCAAAATCGATTAGCTGAATATAATGTATTATTGACTCGTATGAAAATAATATACTGATATAGAGAGAATATTATCTTACACGCGCTTGGAATCAAATGTCAACATTAAACGCTTAAACGTGAGATGCGACTTATAGACTGAATAGCTAAGTATAAAATTAAATTAAATTTACTATAAATACTTATAAACATTAATTCAATAATAAGTAATTTACAAACTTAACTATTATCTAATTAATTAAACGAATCGAATAAAAATCTTTCAGTTTGCTTTGACTAACGATTACAGTAGGTACGTATATAACTTGGCTGTTGGTTTCTTATAATGCTCGATAAAAATAATAATAGCTATCATAGAATGAGTAGTCTGTGTTTAATAATTAAAACGAGAATACGCGCTATTGGCTTATATTATTGACTAATTAGGGACAATAAAAACAAGATGTTCTCTGAAATAAATTACAAACATGAAACGAAGTATAACGTAATACGAAGAATAAAACCAGGTCAGTTCTCATTAATTATACGTCTTCCATGTAAATTGTAATTGTACATCTTCCGCGTGTGTATCACGTCATCGCACACATCGTCGCAAATCGCGCCTTCGTATTCTCGTTTTGCTCGCGAGATCGTAAAGATAAAAAAGATTGTTGAATGATTGGAGAACGATAATACGTTACTGCTATATCAACGATATTTTTATCTCGTCAGGGATTTATCTCGTCGCGCGTTTCTTCTCGTCGAAAAGGGATCATGGGAGCGTCGGATCTCTTAGGTTTATTTTTACTCTCGCGAAAACCGTCGTCATCCGAAACAACTCGCGGATTAGCGAGTTCGGATTGAATAGTAGCCTGAATAATATCGGTTTTATTTGGAAGATAATGTCGCAAAATGTATTCTAAAGAGGATACTGGCAGTTTCCCCGACATTAGGTCGATGAGTCGAGTCGACGAACTATTGATTCGCGGAGCGCCGGCCCCGCGTCACTTCTGGCCGGGTCCCAGTGCCGTACGATTTCTCCCTGTTGCGCATTTTCCTTTATGTCATATATTATATTACAAATCCTAGACACACGAGCTTTTCCGTCAAAATCTATTGTATAGTCGAGGAAAGTATCGACGATATGCATGTTATGCGCAAATTTTCAATTTGTTTTTTATCCTCTTTCAAGGGAGAGAATCTGCAGGTAATTACTTGCAGATAATTAGGAAGAAAAAGAATCGATATAAAGATAAGCTGAGATGAATATAATAAAAATAGAAATTGGAAAATCCTTATGATAAAAGAAAATGCATATTTGATCTAATAAACAACGTTGCGATTGTTAAATTAAATACAGTTAACGCTTGAGGGATAACACGCTTGAATTTAACGGTATAGAGATTGTTCCGTTCGTAGAATCGGTGAGAAAGAGGATGAGAGCTTTCTGCTTTCAATAGATGATAACTAGCAAGTACTAATTAAAGGTGAGATGCTAAAATCGGAGTTTAGATTTCTTTAGCATCGACAAATTAGAATTAACCAATAAAAAATAATTTATAGATCTTCTCCATTATAGCAATATAAGATGTACGATAATTTTGATATGAATACTAAAAAATACAGTTAAATAATTTTTAACAATGTCGTACAATATTATAGAATAATTAGTTGATATATCGCCTTTTCTTCGTAGTCTTTAAAATTTTAATTGGACATGTTTAAAAATTTGACAATTTCATGCACCAATTGCGATACAAAATGTTGTCTTTATCAGACGATTAACAAATTAATATTGTTTCATTTAAGCAATGATCTACGGATCAATAAGACACCAATTTTGCCTTATTTGAATTTTTCGTGTTGGAGCTAAATTGTACATTACAACGGTTAACGTTTCTTTTCTTTCTTACAAATGTGCGTTACATTTTATATCTCGATGCCGTTCAATACTATTCAGGATCGAAATATAGACTTTAACCTAATAGTCGACATAGACGTTACTTAATGACGAGGTTTCTTTTTATTCTATCGTTTCTAATTCTATTGACGTTGGCGCATCATAGAAACGCGAACAGTGTACAGTTTCCGCAAATGTTGCCCTTCCTTTCTAAATCGGTGCCTCACAATAGTTATACACAAAATTGCAGCGTAAATATTACTTGACACTACAATCTTTATCTTTCGTATCGACATTTGTAAATATCATGTAACAATTCTATATTCAAGCAATAATTATTAAAAATTTAACGTATCATTTATATACATCATTAATGTGAAACAAAATCAAGATGTCAAGATTTTCTTACAATTTCGTAATTTTCATACATTTCACACTTTTATACATATATTTTTGAGTTTGGACTCTTCAACTTATATATAGTTATATATATATATATATATATATATATATATATATATATGTGATAAACAATAATAGAATACATCGAATAATAGTCATAAAACCGATAGTGAATTAGCTGCAGTTCTTCGCTGTCTCGTCGCGTCGGTTCTTCGGTAAAGAATTATTGATAATTTCATGCCTCATAAGATATGTATGAGACTTGTAATGCTCAAATTGATATCGATTGGAATAGTAGCACGATGTAAAAAAAAAAAAAAAATGCCGAGGTACATTCTTCAAATATAGTAATTAAATATAGTAATTAACCTGTTTACTTGAGAAATTTGATAAATACTTAAAACACAATAAAATTTTCTATTAATTTAATAAACATAAAAAAAACAAATAAAATTTTATCTACATCAGAATTCGTTGAAAAAATAGCAATTTATTTCTATGAAAATTGTGTAATATCTTAAACCTTATGTCATCACAATTGTATCGTATTTGCGTCAAGCGAGTAATAAACATTTTCATTGATTAAAAAATGCCTGATACGATGCGTGTCATAAATAAATCACGCTGTAATGGTGATACCAAGTTAATGTCAACAATTTATCACTTATCAATATAATAAGATATAAACACGCATAAATATACATAAAATTCGAAAAATAGATCAAGTAATCTCTAGCAGCGACGTTAGTCCCATCAAATGCACATTATGTCATATGCAAACGATAACCTCAATAGGATAAACGGTATCGCAAGAGTCCTCATGCGATCGGAGCACGATCGGATCCCCACGCCGATTAAATTGTTTTATGGATTATATGTTGTATCAACTATTAACCGATATCAATTTAAAAATGTACGATACCGTTTAGACAAGCTACAAGCTACCAAGCTATAAATATCGTTGTTTATCAGCCGGCTTATCAATGCGGATTTCTGCACAGCGATGATTTTATATAACTAACTAAAATTTTAATATGTATCTAGTACTTACGAACTTATTAATTTATTAACATTATTAATAATCGTACTAACTCTATTATCACATTTTAAAACAAGCTGCAAATGATTCCGGGAAAATAATATAAAGCTGATTACATATTACGCGCAAACTATTTCTAATTATATCAAATAAATCGAATTTTAAAATGTAATCAGAAATCGGTACAATTAATTAATAAAGTGTAATTTTACGCGAAACGAGTAAATTAAATTGAAAAGATTTTAACTCTCAGTTTGAGAAAGTGAAATAATTAATTAAGTCAGAGCTAATGACGTTAAAGCGACAAAACCTTTATTAGTAAATCAACGATATATACATTATGATTTTCGACATTTAGTATTGAAAAAAAAAAAAAAAATATTCGTTCAAAAATTTCCCTCAAATTTCCTAGAATAATTTTCGATGATAAAAATATTCGAAGAATTTATTTCTAAAATAAATGCTCCGAAAAAGACCGAGTTCACTGACATGTTTCACTGACATGTTTCATCTAAAAAATGAAATGCTATTCAATAGTTTTCATACTTAGAACATACATGTATGTTTGAGTTTTTATACGGTTGTGAAAACAGAAGAAAATTTTGTTAAAGCCCGGCGACGAGATTGTGATTTTGGAACAGAGGATGGAACTTGTGAATCCAACGACTTTATCGAGCGGTAGTTTATCGCAATTTCTCGCGACACCATGTTCCCCGCTCATCTCGCTACCATCTCGTCATTGCGCGCAGATAAAAATAACAACGCTTTTTTTTCTGGGACGCAAAACGCCTGCACAGCAGAGAGCTTACAAGTGCTACACACTCACCTGTAGATGAATCGGCACCTTCTTCACCGGAGTACTCATCTCGCGAGCTCACCTTCTACGGCACTTTCACAATATTTACTCTTTGGTGTACAAGCCACTTAATTTCGTTCGCGCAAAACACGTCTTCGTCTTCGCTCCACGCGCGCATGCAATTTTGTCGAATCGTTCTCCTTTTCTCTCGACTCTCTTCGACACGGAGGAAAAGGCGGGCGAAGCCAGAGAAAGCTACTACACAAGACAAGACACTGCACAAACCGCACGCAATCACGCATCGACCGAATCTGAACGCGAGTCGCGAACGGCGAATGCGATTGACGCTGCGACTGCGACCTACGCCGCCTGCGCGACCGCGCGACGCTGCAAGTGCTGCGACCATGCGTCGGCCATCAACATCATTTACACCACTTACACCGTCGGTAAGTGAGGGTGAATGCTCCCTCGCCATTACCATGCTTCGATTAATCAGAGCCATCGGATCTAATCGAAGCGAAGCGCGGAAAAATTTTTGAAATGTAAAATAAAGCACTGTTTAAACCCGCTTCATGTAAAATATTATAAGTTTAGTATGCGCGTGCGCGTGTGTACACACTGACATAAAATATAAACGCTTTTCTCTATTTTTCTTCCACAAAATATATAACTGAAGAGCTTATTCGCTTTTGAAAATTTCAGATAATACGAATAATTAATTAAAAAGCATCCTTTGATTAATTTGATTAAATTATCATATCGCTAAGTCATCATACTCTAAATTTTAAGATATCTTGCGCGTAATATAGTTGAATGTCATGCACATTGTACGATCTTTGTATGTATGTACCAAAATTATTCAGAGCATTTAATTCATTCTATTAAATAAAATCACAAATTCGGTTTTATTTCGGAATTGTAAGAAAATCTATAATTAAATCTATTAATTACTCATTTATGCTTAATCGTATCTTTACAACATTTTGCAATAAAATCTTATTTTTGTCATAATTCGTTACATCTTGTAATCACAAGCATGTCATTCATGCAATTAAAAATAATATAACGATTGCGAAGCAGATTTCACGTTCATTTTTATGTAAAAAATTAAGGATTTTAATTATATTTGTAAAAAAGATATGTTTATTAAATATTGAATATATTATAAATGGGCAGAAATATTCTAGGCATACCAGTCTCCTACCTTCTTCAAATTCCTTTGCCATCTAAACTATTTACAATCTTTTATGTATATAACTTTCGTCTGGTGTTATCATGCAATAAAAAATTGTAGCGGAGAATGTATGTACAGAAGCGTATCTCCCTTAGACTGAATATTTAGGACCACATTTCTTAATTGGTGTTAATCTCAGGCCTTTAGCCAGCATTTGAGCTTCGAGGTCGCGATCTTCATTCTGATATCTAAAAAAGAAATATATTTGTATTAATTAGAAAATTACTTGCTAAAGCGGTATATTTAACGTGTTCATATATAAACTTATTTACTTTAAATCATCACTAACATTGACGTTCGATCTAGCTCCTGTCAAAGGAAAACATTTCAGATTTAAAGAATAATTTTAGATTTTGTATTATTTTCTATTATCAGCTTATTTGCTCTTTTCACATAGTTATAACGTAACTTTTTGAATCTTTATTTTCGTGTACTAAAAAAAAATAACGGTTATCTAAAAAAAATATTATATAGTTCTGGTAATAGATAACCAGAATTGTAATACATATATAGTTTCTACCTTTGACATTCGCAAAAATAAAGATAAATTATATTTTGCTAAAAAAATAATATATCATTCAAGCAATTACATCGAAATTAATATTATTATACATTTATATGTTAAAAAAAGTACACTCATATTACCATTAAAGAATTGTGCGTTTTTATAGATTAATCCAAGTATTTAAAACAAATAAACGTTTTAATCATTTCCAAGATATTTTACACGTCATGTTAATTGGTAATTACGAAGAAAATTTAAGCATGTAAAAGTCGGGATGTGTATTCAAGTATGGAATTTTACGTCAAGTGTAAAGATCCACAATTCCAAAAACATTTAATCACATATTGTCCGTAATGTTAAATCTTTTTTTTATCGATTGTACCTATAAATGTCATTAGTGTGTGATGTATTCATCTTTTTGAAATGATTACATCACACAGCAATCTTAACAAGATAAAAAAAAAAAAAGAAATAAAAACACATTTAAAGATTTCAATGTAATTAAGCTGCAATAAAAGCAGGTGTATAATTTAGAAGAAAAATACATGAGAAGTCGTGAATATAACAATGCGTTTGCTACAAGAAATTTTTTTCTTGTAAGAATCAAACTGTACTACTGTACCTACCAAATTGTCATGCTACTTTTTTTTTAACACACACATACACACTCATATATACAAATGTATACTCAAGAGGTATTTATTTAAAATAATAACTTATTCAGATTTATGTAGATAATATAAATTTAGTTATCTATTTGGTTTAGTTTAATACGATATATGTACCGAAGAAAGCATGCGTACATTGTCCAATAATATCGTAAAATATCGTGTGGAAATTTCAAAAATAAAGAGATGCTAATGATTTCTGTAATCATAATTAATAAATATCTCCACAATATGGATTGCAAAAATATAAACAAATAAGATAATTAGCAATTTGAAAACGTAAGATAAATATTCCGATTTGTGAGAGGAAATATTAAAAATACGGATATAATATGCATTTGTACAAGTAATAGTTGCCAAGGACGATGATTTACACCACCTTTGTCGTTCTTCTTCTAATAGAGCGATTAAGGAATCCCTCTTTGTTACTATCTCCAACATTTCCGTCAAGATTTCTCCTTCCTTTTTAACATCGTCACTAGTCTTCTTATCATCTGTGTGTAAAACATTTAAAAAAAAATTACATTACAATTTATATATTTATAAAAGTGTACCATAAAAATATTTACCATCGTCAGCCAACCGTTCACGCAATTCTTGTTGCAATCGTTCATGACGATCTTCCAATTGAACCTCTTGCGCACGCACTAGAAGTTCCTTTTCGTATCTACGTAATTCGGTACGTTCTTTCATAAGATCAAACCATTCCCTGAGCAAATCGGCTTCTTCACGATTGGAGGAATCTAAATAAAATTATTAGTCACTTTAGATTGTGTATTTTTTCCTCCTCATCTCATATACATACGTATATGAACTATATGAAGTATTCATTTTAATAATTAACATTTATCAGTTGTTTCTCTTTCTTGATTTTTTTAAATTAAAAGATAATTGGAGATTAAATATATAAACGTGAAATAGAATAGAGAGATTGAAAATTATAGTAATCAGATATAAACAAAATATTATATTTCAATTTTAGGCTGTAACAACAAAAATGTGATATTAAAAACTGAAAGAAAGAGGACTACATACATATGTATACAGAGAGAAAGAATATTATATTACCTCCTTCACCACGCAGCGCTTTCTCGACACTTACGCCCCGACTCTCTAATTCCTTTTGTTTTACTTCAGTTTCCTCCAGTTTCCTTTGTATTTCTTGAGCCATTCGCAATCTTAAAAATATATTCAATTTAGCAGTGTTCTCAAAATAAAACTGCCTTTTCGGACATATGTAAGTATGTTCAAATTTGACTTTGTATTGTTGTTCTCTTTATTCAAATATATATGTACAAATACATATGTAAGTATATTATGTCTTACCTCTTTAACTGTGCTTGTCTAGCTACTTTTTTAGCAGTCTTTAATTTACGTGAAACATTATTGCACGATTCTTCAGTTGCCGTAACTTTTTGTATGCACGATGCTGATAAAGTAGTTGTTTTAGCATCTTCATCTGATAAGCTATCATCTGAAACATAAAAATGTAAAACTATCAAAGTATAATATTATCTTTTGTTATTAACAAGATAATTAACAAGTACAAAATGTAAGGGCTCAAGCCCAAATATTTTGTAACAATTTATTAGATTTTAAAATAGTGTACAAAATACAATGATTCCAAAAATAATTAGACTTATTTTTATTTTACGCCTCGATGAGTAATAATAAAACTAAATAATTCACACATTTGTTATCACGAAAAATACAGAAAAAATGTGCACATAATACAGACGTAAACCTTATAAATATAAATAATATTATAACAATTTATAAAATCAAAAAGATATTTATTTGTTAAATTACCTGACACTTGAGTAGTATATACAGAGTAGTTAAGCGGTGGTGGTGGCACAGGCGGTGGATTTTCAGTGAGGAAATTTCCTACGAGCATATCCTCGCATACACTTTTAGGCCTTGTGTCGCATTTTGATGGAACAGTTTTATCATTCTGCAATTAACATAGAAGCAATATGCTATATATACAGTTATCTTTCAGAACACTGTAATATGTGAACATTTCACATATTAATATGATAACAATATTAACGATAATGATAAATGATGAATTGTAACAATAATGCTTACTTTTCCTTTTGATTTTGAAGTCAATCGGAACATCGATAGTTTGTCCTTTTGATTAGGTGATGGACTTGTTTCCTTCTTGAAGAAGAAATCTGACACCGCCTGTATAATACTCTTTCTTCTCTCTGAATCCTTCGGTTTCTTTTTGTCCCTTTTGATTGCCGTGCCATTATTATCCGAAAGTGATAAACCTGCAGTATTCAGCAACTCATCCATCGATTTCGCGCTAGCCGCTGGCAGTTTTTGGAAATTGATCTTCTTTGCGATATTCTTCATATTATCGGTGCTTTGGCTGATTTGTAATTTCAGCTCTGAACTATCTATTCCGCTAAAATTGTACGATTTAACTCTTTCAGTATCGTTCGGCGTATCGTTTTTTGTATCCGTTTTTATCTCATCCATCGAGAGTTGTCTCCGGGTCACCCTCATTCTTAATTCCTTGATTCTGTCTTCAGGACTTAAACCTAGGTCTTCGTCACTCTTCATTCTAGCCCGTTCTCGAGCATCATGTCTGGCCTTTTCGGCGGTTCTCCTCGCTTCCTCGCTTTTCAGTCTTGGCGGTGCAAGTGGTGTTTTAAAAGCATCCTCTATACTAGCAATAGTCGACTTTTCGTCTGCCTTCTTTGGGATTTTTTTTGGATTCTCTTTGGTTTCTCCTTGATCGGTCTGCTCACGAGAGCAGCACGAAGACATCGAAAGATTCAACGACTTGTTCGCCTCCGCGAAAGTTGTGCGAGTTGGACTGTTTACTGGTGATATTATGGAAGTAGGCACAAACTTGTTACCAACGGAAGAAACATTAGATAATGAAGGTTTCATCGGTGAAAGCGCTGTGGTAAAAGATGAGGCTCTCGCAGCTCTTCGGGCCCTTTTTTCGGCTGACTTCTGCTTGTGAGCCTCGAGTTTATCCATTAAAAGATCCTGTATAAGGTTCTTTTGCTTCGACCGTTCTCTCGTGATCTCTTCGAGTTTTCTCGAGGTCGCCGGGGAATTGACACCATTACTGTTACCATTTACACTTATTGTTTCCTGACACTTAATCTCTTCAGCGATCATTTCCGCGGTACGCGTCTGCGCCAAGCTTTTCGAGTTTTTTCGCCTCGATTTTCTTACGTCAATAGAATCCTTGGCATTGCTAAACTCTGCGATTCTAGATTGCAATCTCTTTACATATTCCAGATAGTCTGGATTGTTGGAATCCGCCTTGACTAACTCCTCGTGCTTTTCTGTCATTTCTGCAGGAACTATAGACACCTGAGGATTAATCGGACTGGCAAGCACTGTAACGACTTCGCTGGTAGTCGTATCCTCCGCTGGCTCCACAAGTAACAGACTATCTTCTTCCATCGACTGAAGTAATTCTTTGTTAAAAGCTTCTGCCAATTGCTCCCGTTTCGTGTTCTCCTTAAATCCCTCTTCACCTTGCTCCTCAGATTGAATTTCTATCGATGATTTACTCACAATAAGCTCGCCTAATTTGCCCATTACATCCTCCATGGTAACTGGATCGATCTCGATCACATTGGCGTCTTTAAAGCCTTCTTGTTCTTCTTCCTCATCTTCACCGTATGAATCATTTTCTAGATCGAGTCTTGCTATCGGCGCATCAGCGACTGGTAGATTGTACATATTAGTTGAAATAGGAATGTTGGAAAGAGTCGTCTTGACATTTACGAATTCGATATATCCTCGATTTTTCAGCATCGCAATATTGGAGGCATCTTGGAGGCTGTCATCCAGCAGCGACTCATTGTCCGTGTCCATGTAATTAATATCTTCGCCGTTGACCAACAGTTTTGATGTATTATTGTTCGGGTATTCCTGATCGATCACCCGATCGATTTTCGAATACTCGATTTCCATATCCTCCTCTTTAGCAATTTTGGCGGGTGTAGAGGATAGTTTTGCATTGTTTCGTACAGTGATGAAACTAGAATCGATATCGAGCTCCACGTCGCGAAGGTCCTCAGAAACCAAAGCCTCCCCGTCGCGAGCCCATTCAGAAAATTCTGTCTCAGTGAATGCTGCAGTGGTAACATCGTTCTCCTCGGAATCATCTTGCTTATTAGACATTGGCGAAGCTTCGGAAGTAGGACTACTGCAGTTGCTCTTTCTGTTATTATCCCGCAAGTCTAATTGTCCCATATTATTATTTACCATTTCAACAGTATGCGTATTGTCGATTGAATCGAGTAATCGGTGATCCTGCAGAAAGGAGACTTCGATAGAATCTGGCTCGAATGTCTGGCCATCGTCGGGATCGTAATGTTTGTAACGATCAGCTCCTTCATCCAGTAAAAGGTCGCCATCGGTGCTGTGAATCCGTAATCTAGGCGGCGAAAGATTTACAGCAACAAACTGATCGTTCTCAACTGCTCCGTTAGAATCGGAGGATGATAATGAATCGCTATCTATCTCAGAATCATCCGAACTGGCCTCCTTGTCCTCGTCCTTCTTGTTCCAGTCCACTTGCGGCACGACAATGGACGTCTCATGAAGGGGACTACGCGGTCTAAAATCGTTACTTTCCTCCGCATTGTTTAAGACAACTTTCTCAGCGCTTTGCGAGCCTTTTAAATCCTCTTTTACGACATTCTTCGTCAAGTTATTAGTAGCTTGCTGTAGAAGTACTTGTTCGTCAATTAACTCCCTGTTTTTCATCGAAGATTCACTGCAGATGTTGGGTGCTGTTTTCGATTTCAAGATACTGGATTCTTTCACTAAATCAGGTAATTGTTGCGCCTTGGATGTTTCTACTATCAAGGTTGTCGGCTTCGCGGCATCATTCGATGAATTTCGGCGATCGGCTGACAACTGTCGCGAAAATAAAATTGTAGGCGATAATGGAGAAAGCGGTGCATTGTTGGTTCGCAGTTTACTAGTACCTTAAAAACATACAATTATATGCATGTGAAAAGATGATTTGCAACAAGATTTATATAAAATATTCTACAAATTTATTTCTTGGTAGTATCTTTCTCATTAGTTAATATCACAAATATTGTTGTAAAATAATATAGAAATTATCGAGATTGAAAATATATGTAATAAAGATACCTTGAAGAAATGCTTGCATGGTAGGACTAGGCTCCGGCGCTGGATTCAACAACTTTTGATGCTGCGAGATTGCATCAGTAAAGTTCCTCAATTTCGTGTCGACATTAGATGCCGAACCTGATTTTACAACGGAACCACCCAACGCTGATCCGCCCAGTAAATAACGTTTTTTCAATTCCAACGAGAGTCTCGAAGCGATTCCGCCGGTGGAGTTAGTGCGATTCAGAAGATAATCTCCCCTTCGTGGATTTAACAATGGTATACAATTATTTTTGTCGACAGAAGCTGGCACGTTGCAATTTACTTCTTTGTTCGTTGTTTCCACCTTAGTACGGCCTTCCAAAAATCGCTCGCTGTTAATATCTTGCTGTTTCTTGTCCTGCATCAGGTTGCCATTGATCGAAGAGATCATCTTACTCTTCACCTGCACTTTCTTCGGTTCAACATAAGCGCCTCTCGTTTTCCGCACATAGGAATCGTTGATTGTAATCTCGGGAATCTCGTGCTGCGTCGGAGTCGCTTCATCGTGCTCGAATTCGGAGTCGGTTGAGATCTCGGTTGCGGAATTTTCCACACTCTCCTCTGTCGACGCATCTTCTGACGATACAACCTGATACGATACAACAAAGAATACTAAATGAATAAAAATTATAACAAATATATAGCTAAAATATAATAAGCAAGTGTTTAGTAAAATTGTTAGGGGTCGGATAAAAAAAGACAGAGAAGCTAATATTTTGATTTATGAGTGGATATTATGAGTAGTTTTGATTGTATATGTGTTATTTTTGTAAATGATCGTAATTATGCGATTATAAACCAATGTTTTATCACAGTTAATGTTTTATCATACGATCGAATCAAAAGAGTATAAATCTGAATTTTATACTTAATTAAAACAAAAACAGTGTTGTGAGACATTTAATAAAGTACTGGCTGGTGATCATCTCTGAATGAATTAGTCAATATTGGTGAGTAAACCGCTACTTTTAGCATGAAAACTAAATAAGTCAAACACAAACGATTAAGGATTTGAGTCGCTGTTAATGATAAATTAGTTCAATAACACTCCATTCACATACATAACAAGATGGATTACCTTTTCCTTAATGCTCCTTAATTGGTCGATTAAAAACTAGCCCCATTGAAAATTAAAAAGTCAATCACCATCAGCCAAGATTTTTACTTGTACTTTTTCTGTTTACTTTATTAATACATCTCACACAGTTCGTCCAAATTTAAAATTGCACAACTACAATATCCACTAAAGATCTCTAAGATTATTAACTATAGAATCATAAAATAGAATTGTATATTTGTATTAATACGAAAAATTATATAATTTATCGATTCGAAGTCTCTATAGAGAATATGTAAAAACCGCAAATCTGACCGAGTTATTCCTAACTCCATTGGTATACGGATTAATTCGAAATACAAGTAAAATCTACATATATAATCCACTAATCAACATTCAGTAGATTTGCAATAAATATATGTAGGATAACGACATATAATAACATCAGATCTTGAAGACTAGATTTATTGACCAATCTAAAATAGTTTTTCAGCAAAAGTTCAATTGTTCAATGCTAATATTTTTCGCAATTCTTTACACTTCTTAAAATTGTTAATATTAAGTATTTTGATAAACTATTCATTTTTTAGTCACTTGTATAATTTGAAAATTATTTAATGTAATTATAGAAGCTTTTAATATATATATATATATATAAATGACGGTTATATTATCGAGTTAGATAATTCTAATAAAACGTTAAAAACGAATATAATTAAAGCTAAAGCATTATATCCCCAAACAATTTAATTATAGTATGTAGATGTTGTATTAACATTATGAAACTGTGCATTTATCTTTTTTTGACTGATTATTGCTAGAAATAAATTTTATAGATTCCTCAGATTTATTTAACAAGTGCGAATTTGTATGAGGATAAGCAGCTTCTTGAGTTAACGGTACACTTTTGTTTTGACTTTGCAATTTTGATACATCAGAAACATTTCGAATTTCCGTTATTGAAGTATCTTTAACACCTTTTATAATTTCTTTGTTTAAATTCGAAAGACTCGCAACCTCCTGACTTTTTGCGACATTTCGTCTTGTTGGCCTTTGGATAGCCATTGAATTAGTATCGGGATTTTGAGTAGCCCGACAATAAAGTTTTGTGACATCGTTGACATCTAATTTTGAAATATCTTTAACATCTTGACTTTGAATGTTAGAAACATTATTGCTATTCTGACCGTATAATTCTGAAATATTCTCGACAGTTTGACTTTGTAGTGTTGTTTGTTCCGTCACATTTTCAAGAGCCAGATTTCGATGTAGATGCTCGAAGCTTCTTTTTGCTGACTTTTTTCTTACTGGAATTTTAGGCAAAGAGAGTTCCGTGTTAGAAATTGTCAAATTAAGAATGTCTATTGGAGTTCTCTGAAAAGAATTAATATCATGAGACAAATTTTTCCGCCTAGGCCTTTTAGGAACTTCTTCAACATGATTTTCTGGTGAATTATTGTTTATAATCGTATTTTCAATGTTCGTAGATTTATCTACTATTTTTTCGACGATTATTGCTTTTACTGCGGACACATCTTTATATATTATATTTTTTAATTCGGATAATGATTTAGAATTATTGCCAATACATTTGGAAAAAACTCGCGGTGCATCTTTATTTAAACTAGTATCGCTTTTATGCAACCTATTACATTTAACAACTTTATTTGTATTATTTAATAGTGAAGCAGTTAACGTTGCATTAAGAGATGTATTATTTCCAAATAACAAATTTTTGTTTGATTCATTATTTCTATCCGGATCATCACTCAAAATATTTATTTTATTAGCTTGCTTCTCATCACTATTATTATTCAGTATGATTCCATCTAAATCTGTTAAATCCGTTCTTTTTTCTTCATTTTGTGAATTATTTGAAGTATTGCTTTGTGCGCCCGTTTTAATTACACTGTCTTCTTTAATTATATCATCGTCTGTTGTATTGCCATTTTTTATATTATCTTTCTTTTCTTGATTTGTTGTGTTATTTATGTCACTATTCAGAATGTCGTCTGTCGAATTAATCTGTTCTCGTTCCTTTTCATCGTTTGTAATATTAAAATAAATGTTTTTTACGTCTGTACGCAACATCGATATATCGTCGGAAATCATAGCAGTATGATTCTCTACTTTAGGAATACTATAGTTTGCCGTCAATAGATCAATCTGATCACTGTTAATATTTAATTGAGGATTTAGTCCAACAAGATCATTACATATTAAATCTAAACTATCGCGTGCTATCTCCTCTTCATTATTATGGACTGCTTCAAATCGTGACAAATAGAACTGAGAATCCATCAGCTTTTCATCAACTTCCAAATATGCAATTTTACTTTGCTCTTCGATTTGATTAAATTGTTGATCAATCGCATCAACGTCTTTCTCGGTCATATCGCTTATTTCTTCGATATCTATTTCTGACTTTTGTCTTTCATTTCGCTTAATAGCGAATATATTTGAAGCTTTAGATTTATTATTATTCCAAGAACTGGTCTTATTAAAGTATTTCAGCATTTCTTCTGCATTTACTTTGTCAGATAACTTGGGCTTAATATGTAATTGTATCATTTTGATATTAAGCGTGTCCTTATTTCGTGTCGGTTGCTTGTTCGAAACCATTCTTTTATTCTCCGTAAAATATTTATTCATCTTTAATCGAGCGCATTCAGTCGACAGTGGTCGGAGTCCACTGTCGACATTTCTTATAGCTTCGTTCTTTGCTTTTCTCTGTTTCAGATCGCGCTTCAGTTTGTCAAATGCGTTATTACCATTATCAAAATTTGGAATACTATGTGATTCCAGGGGAACCAGCAATCTTGAAGTTTCCAAAGATAATTGTTCAAGCTGTATCTCCTGTGTTGGAGATGGCGATGTCACTGTTACTATCGGGTATATTGACTCTTGTAACACGCTCGCAGTAAGCGCCGGAGTTGTTGAATATACATCAACTTTATTATCAATAACATTACTCACGTGAATATTATTATTATTATTACTACTACTATCATCGACAAATTCAATATTTCTATTTTTGTTAGTAAAATCGCTGCTCTCGTCCTGATTAGTAGCACTACTACCAGTAATATTTTCACACTCAGATATTTCTATTTCTTCAAGTAAATTAGACTTGGAATATTCTACCGAATCATTCAAGTGATCGCTATTGGTTGAATTACCGCTATGCAACATTTCTACCGATTGATAAGTCTCTGACGATGAGGAAGACAAAGAATTTTTGCTTCCATTCAAAGAAGTGATTACACTCGGCAAATCATCAGCATTTAGGATAGTTTCGTTATCGGAAACTCTAGAATCCTTGCGTGTTCCAATGCAAGGTATAGTATCTGCAATTGTAATTTTCGCAACCTTTTCTGAATCATCTCCAAAACAATTGTTTTGCGTGGAACCTTTTTTCATATTATTTGTAGATAAATCCAATGAATTCTTAAATAGATTATTTGTGCTCAAATTATTAACATTTACATTGATATTAATAAAATTTGGTATAAAACTTTTCACGTCGACATCGAGAATATCATTTTGCGAACAATCATCGTCAATTTTATTATGCAATTCGTCTAAATCTGATCGAATTCCTTCCTCCACAAAACTTTCGTACTCGCAATCTTTTTTATTCAAGTGATTAAGAGCAATATTTGTCAAAAAAATCAAGGATTTATTCTGACCCGAAATATTATCGTCAGTATTATTTGACGTTGGAAGAGGCATTGATTCGGTCGCGCAAATTACATTTTCAGAAACTTGCGAGATAACATTGAGAGATGCACCATTTTTATGAGCGGAAATCGTATTGTCTTGACCGTGTATACTTGTAGCTAATTCATTAGAAGGTAATGCCGGTTCATTAGAGAATTCTAGCAGTTCTTTGAGAGGATTTCTCTCGGATGATAGATCACTATTATTCGTGTTCACGTTGGACATTGAGGACGATGTTATTTTAGATTCAAAAGAAATGAGTGATTTTTGAATTATAGCGGGACTTATAGAGTCTTTAGATTGCTTCACCTCTGTTTCCGAACCGGTGTCAGTATCAGAGTTGCGCGGTGGCACCTTCAACCACACTTCTTGCTTTCGGAGCTCTCGCGCGCGTACGTCTTCCTCGTCTTCGGTTGCAGTGCCGCTTTCATCGTCTAACAAAAAATCAAAACATACATTACAAGTAATGTAAGTTGAAGAATTTGTTAATATTATCACACATTCTGTATTTTTCTTTCCTCCCTGTTATTCCCCATTGTTTTTTTATCCATAAATATATATATATATATATATTTATTTCTTTTTTATCAAAATCAATGCATAATAATATGGCGATGTAAAGTTGGCACTCAATTTTTAAATATCCAAAATTTTAAACACAGTTCCATTGGCACCCACAGTTCTACAGTTCCTGATAGATTAGAACTATTGTTTTAATCTATCATGAACTGTACAACTATTGTGGGTGCCAATCAAACTGTGTTTAAAATTTTGGATATTTAAAAATGGAGTGCCAACTTCACACCGATATAGAATATTCTCGTGAAAAACGTATCATACAAAATAAGAGAATAACAAAAAAAGTTGATATCATATAATTTTAACAAATGAAAACTTTGTGCGTGCGCGAGGGCATATATTTTTATGCATAATAAATAATACCTTCACTAGTGTATTCATCGCTAGAATCTTCATATTCGTTGCTGCCGGTGTCAGATTGTCCGACTGTAGCATGTGGATGTGAATAGCGCAATGTCCAATTCTTAGCTAACTCGAGAGTTCCTTCAGTTGTAAGTGGTTGATCTATAGCTTCCTCAAATGCTTCATTATCCTCATCAGAATCACTGTAAAACAAATGATGATAATTTAAACAAACATTATAATTAAAAATTTAAATTATTTATATGTATTAGGTGTAGTAGAAAGTTCTTAGCTTTAAGTTTTGCATCGATGGAGTATCATTTCAAATTGAAATATTCACGCCTTTTTGCGATTTTGAAATTAAAATTAATAATTACAAAAAGCCATGGTAAGGCAAGCCATAATCTCAAAAATCTCAAAAATATTGTTAATCGATTATTAATGAGACATCCTGCATGACAACGCACAGCCACATACTGTTGAGGTGGCGAAGCAAATCATCTTCGCGTTGGGCTTCTCGCGTGGAGAACTTCTGCCGCACACGGCGTATTCATTTCAAATATGGCCCCTTCCGATTACCACCTATTCCGTGTGCAACATCGTTTGGCTGATACACACTTCAGAAGAGAAGAAAAAGTTCGAAAAAGCATCGATTTTATTTATGATTTTCAAAACCGCTAAGCTTTTGTCACTTAGAAATTCGTAAACTACTCGAGAAGTGGTAGAAAGTCATCGATAATAATGGAAAATATTTTATTGATTAAACTCTTTTTATGTTCTTCAAATAAAGATTGAATTTTGCAAAAAAAAAAGCTAAAAACTTTCCAGTCTACATCTAATATATATTTATTATTTTGTGTTTTAAACAAATCAATTAAAATATAAATATATTCTAATAAAAATTTTAAGTTTAAATTTATATTTATATCTGTTATAACTGAACCAGAATTATTATATATAGAATATCATAAAGGTATATAAGAGGTCTGTGATATGAAAAGAATCCTATCTTAAAATTGCCGTGTTACATGCATTGAAGCCTCTTTTTCCCAATGTTTAAAAATTCATATCTTCCAGAAAAATAAAGATAGCGACTGGTGGGTGGTACAACAAATGGTTGAGGTGAGTGGTGGTAGTGGGTGGTGGTGGTGGGTGGTGGTGCTGGGTGTGGATGGTGGATGATGGTAAGTCAAAAAAAAATTTTTATTTTCAAAATCATAATATAAAAAATCATAATGTAAAAAATTTTCAACAAAAAATTTTTTACTTTAAAATCACATGATATAAAAAATTGTGGTGGTGGGTAGTTGTGGTGGGTGGTGGGGAATGATAGTGGTGCGCGCGCGAAGCGCGCGCCTGTTATGTACTAGTATTATAAATAATATATGCATATTTACCTCATATCAGAAATATCATCACTGGATCCCATTTCTGCGGTAGAAGCACCAAAATTTCTGTCTGTCCATTCATCTTCATCCATTTGACTGTGACCTTCCTCAGGATCTGATATTTCTGCTAGATTTTCAAATTCAATTCTTTCCGGCGTTTGACCACGATCGAGTAAATCAAGTCCAACAATGCCTTCTAAGGACGTTTTGGCCTGAAAGCATGTACATACATTTTTGTATAAAAGTTTATCGTTTTAAAATGTTTTACTCCTACAAAAATTCTATAAAAAGATATCATTTTATATCGTAGTAAACATTTTTGTATTTATTATTACACAAGATTTATTGATCAGTATATAAGATTATTCTATACCTTTTCCGGTGTTTTTAATGTAGCCGCGGCATTAGGTACATTTTCTTTATTCACCAAGTGGATCCTTTTTTTCTCTGCTCTAGTTTTCATCGTTCCCGATAGTCCAAAGTGTTGCGTACAATAAAAGCGTCCACCATTTTTCTCTCGATCAAATGTATGATTTCCTGTAAGATAAAACAACAATATTATTAAATCATAAAATATTTAAAAAGCAAACATATAAAGAGAATATTAAATATTACCTATTCTTAACGAGATGGAACAATATTCACACCGGAAACAACCGCGGTGAAAAAATTTGCCTTCTGCACTAAGTCTTTCCATAAGATAAACTCTTTTGTTGCAAAAATGGCACATCTCTGAACCTCCTTGCACAGGTAACACGATAGCAGGCTTAGTGTTCTACACAAAAATAATTCGTACAATCCAAATTATTAATGCTACATTAAATGCTGTGCGATTTTATATATCTAATACGCACGCTGCTAGCATCTTTTAAGAGAAGACACTTTTAGATCTTAGATCTTATCTTTATATTAATTTGTCAAGCAATATTCACTTTATATTAATATTTTATTAATATATTAGCAATTATTTATAAGTTTATACGTTTTTACGTTATATTTATATAATTAGTTATGTTAGTTTATATTTCACACGATATATACATATTTCAATACTACAAAAGTTCGATTTAAAAAGCCAACGTTATCTCTCAAATATTACAATCTACGTATTTACAATCCAAATCTAGTTTGTTAAGAAATTTCATTTATGTTGCAAGCTATAAATTTATAAATACCTTAAAATTTATTAGTAAGTGATTTAAAAAATTATCTAACACAACATTGCTTGAAAAAGATTTTTAAAACATTTTGACATGTGTTATAACGGAATTAAATACAATTATGAATCTTTTCAAAAACGCAAGTCTACTGACTACTGATTTATATCTTCTCTCTTGACTTGAATTCTGGAATTAAGTAACACACACTCTCTATAAGACAATGGGGATATAAGATATAATAGAGACGCTGATACAACTCAGACGATGAAATTAGAATATTTTCGTTGACCGTCCTTTCCCATGAAGATCGTAAAACTCGTATTTACCGATTTTTGCAGCTTGGGTTCCACATCCTGACTTTTATTCGAAAATTGTTCAGCCATGGCTGAAACTTTATTGTATCCGAGCGCGCTACCTTCCCTGATCTTCTTGCCTATATTCTTCAGGGTATTGTCTATGTCAGCGTACTTACTGTAGTTGTCCCTTTGATCGTTGCCTCGCTTCTCCATCTTGATCTGCCGAGCTAAAAACTGAATGAAACATATACACATCTGAAAAAGTGCGAGAATGCCATCGCTATTGAGCGTTTCTTTGCCAACCTGCTCGCGACTCCACTTGGGCACTTTCTCGACACGTTCGTGACGAACGCTGCGGCCCATCTTGTTCTCTTCGATTTTCTTCTCAATTTCTTTCACGTTCCAATCAGTTTTCTCAATTTTACCTACAAATATATTTTATAGTTCGATTAGTACAGAACAAAGACAGAAAACTTTACTGGAATTGAATGAAAATAAAAAATATGTACAAACCAATAGCACGTAAAAGATCTCTAGGTTTTTTTTCGGAAGATGTTCCTTTCAGTTTATCTTCAAAATCCTTTATCCTACCTGAGAATTCTTCATCCACACTATCTCTTTGGTAACCAATGTGTATTTTAGATTGTCTGTCCTAGGAATAATTGACAACTTAATATCAAAGTATATGCGAGCGAGCAATTAGTAGGAGAATTAGTAACAGTATCACAAACAACGCAAGCAAAAATTGCGAGCATCTTACTAACTATATTTTGAATATAAATACGAGGTTTCTTCGAAAATACATATAATAATGATAATAATAATAATAATAAAATAAAATATTTTAAAGAATTAAATAAATAGTTGACGTTTCAAATGTGATTCTTCAAACTCATACATATAATTAATACAATTTAGAAAAATCAATTTCTATCAGATTAAAAGAATAAAAAATAAATATTGTTATTTGAATCCTTTTTATCTAATAACTTTTCTTTAGACACCAGTTTCATAATGGCAATAATAATGCGATAATAACAACAGGGCAAGCGTGAAGATAGAATATAATTCCTCGTACAAAAATAAATTAAAAGTTTTGTCAATTAACAAAAATCTTATTAAAAAAGCAGTTGTTAATCAACAATAGTCAATAACATGTGCATATATAACTCTCAACAAATTTAGTAACAACTGTATTAATACTGTTATTTCTTCATTGCAGTCGTACTAAATTATAACGTCAGAAAATAAATGTAAATATATTCCTTGTGTGTCACGATTTAGTATAAATGCAATGAAGCAAGAATGGAAAATATGGTGATTCATTATTTTGTCATTCATTATCTTTAGAAATGCGTTATGCTGTTATATTGAATATCAAATGATGACACAGGCTTTTTGTCAGCAGATATAGAAAAACATGGTCAAACATTTGCACTCATCAATCTTTAGCTTACTGGATAAAGTATTTTCTGCTCTAAATCTTTTACTCTATCCTTGAAATCTGGTGCAGTTTGACGGTATAAAAAAATCGAGTAATCCTCAAAGGGCTCATCTTTCTCGCGTTTTGCATTGGCTTGCAGCATCTGCATACTTTTGTAGAACTGCTGGGTTGCCATCTTACGCAAATATTGCCGCTTCTTCATGCGCTCAGTTCGATAATTTTCAATCTCATCGAGTCTTTTCTGCCTTTCATCCTTTATTGCGAATTTACTTATTAGTCACGCGCGATCAATTAATTATAAATGCTGATCTATTTCGATCCAAGCAACGAAATGTTTCTTTACAGCAAAGCGAAGCACTATTGTGGATCAAATTATACCAGAAAGCATGAAGCAGCGACAGAATGATACTTGAGAGGAAAATTCTTTAGAACCGTAAATCTTGTCGTTTCCCATTTCGAGAACAATGGCTTTTTAAATTATTTAAAGAATTTAAAGACCCATTTTGCAAATAGAAATGCAAAAGTAAACAAAATCTATAAAATGTAAAAAATATAAAAAAATGTACACTGCCGTTTCCGGCCACTAGCAAAATTTTTATATTTGGAGTTTTAAGCCGTTGAACTTACAATTGTAGCATTGTTCTAAATCAAAGAGTAGATTGATGTGATTTTATCATTTTAAAAGATACTTATTTAAGACTTACTCTGTATTGATTTTAAGTTTAATGCATCCTTACTACTGTAAAACTACTCTTAAATCTGAGAGTATATTTACCATACTGAAAATTACAATGTTTGACGGAATGCACTTTACTTACAAATGGCATCCCCGAAAAATTTTCGCAAGTGCATTCCATCAAACATTGCAATTTTCAGAATGGCAAACAGATAAGGCTCTCAGATTTAAAAGTAGTTTTACAGTAGTAGGAATGCGTTAAACTTAAAATCGATACAGAATATTTTTAAGTATCACTTAAAATGATAAAATCTACTCTTTGATTGAGCACAGTGCTGCACTAACAATAAGTTCAACGGCTTGAAACTCCAAATATAAAAATTTTACTACTGTTCGGAAACTTTTTGACGGCAGTGTATGTATGTAAAGAAACAATAAAACAAAAGAAAATCAATTGGCCTCTAAAGTTTCTTTTTATTAGACTACCGCTAGCATAATTTTAAATTTTTGTGCATAATCAACTACGTTATTGTTGTATTTAGCCATATGGATTTGCGCATATAAAAATAATGAAAAGATTATGTATAATGTTTCTGGCACGATCTCCTAAGAGTTTGAAAAAATCTTACTCAAAGTTTCATAAAATAGCAATTATATTAACATAAGATTATATAAAAAAATTTGACAATATAACCGACAGTTTGGACTTATTTCCTTTTACGGTAGGTTACGCGTGTTCAGTATGTGTCTGGCTCCTCCCGAAGGCCGGTAAAAGTAGTAAGTCCAATGAATACGATTAACAACGATACGAATATCCCGCGACACATAACAGTTTCGATCTTCTGCCATCGTGACTATACATAAGATACAAGCATTTCAGTTTTCTAACAAAGGTCAACAAAAGTCAACAATTGTGTACAGCTATGTTAGGTTCAATTTTTTATAAAAGATTTAATTTTGTTTTTGAAATAAATAAATTTTCTTTAAAAAAACTGATTTTCTATAAAAATTTGAACGTTTTTCACGAAATTGTCATTGCTTTTGTCTGTATATTTATTATTATTATTATTATTATTATTATTAAATAAGCATTGCTCATTATATAAAATTGTAAATAAATGGAGAATTTATTCTGCTTACCATCGTCGCGCCTACTTTCTCGGTACTCCGTCTCTTTCGAGAACGCCGGCTAACCGTATTGTCCTTTTTATCCGTGTGAGAGTGTACATTTTCATTAGCATATCGTGAGCGCGAGTACCGTGTTTTCGTAGCCTTTTCCTCAGATGTCCATTGTTTCAGTTGCTTTGGATGTCCGATGCATTCTTCTGCTTCTGGTTCCTGTTGCAATAAAGAATCCTATCTTAAAATTGCCGTATTACCTGCGTTGAAGCCTCTTTTCGCCAATGTTTAAAAATTCATATCTTCCAGAAAAATAAATTAAAATAGGTGGTGGTGGGTGGTAGTAAGTGGTGGTGGTGATGGGTGATGGTGGTGGGCGGTGGTGGTGGGTGGTAGTGGTGGGTGATAGTGGGTCAAACAATTTTTATTTAAAAAATCAAATGATATAAAAAATTAAAAAAAAATTTTTGCTTTAAAAATCAAATGATAGAAAAAATTTTTAAAAAGAAAATTTTTATTTTAAAAACTCATAAATATAAAAAATTTTCAAAAAATTTTTATTTTAAAAATTAAATGCCATGTTATCTGCAATGAAGCTTCTTTTCCCCAATGTTTAAAAATTCATATCTTTCAGAAAAATAAAAATATCGACTTCTTTCTGGGCTTATCTTAAAGGTGAATTATGTGGCTATTTTCTAAAAAATCGTGATTTTATTTAAAAAATGGCCGATTCAATATGGCCGATTAAAACGTCATTTTATTGAAAATTGTTAGAATTTGTTTAATTAAAATGTAATTTGGTATAAATGTTATTGAAAGATGTATGGGATTCAATACGCAGCGCGCGCTTGTTATGTACTAGTAAACTTAAACTTATGACTATTATGATTAGTACGGAAAGTAAGGTATTCATAAAAGTATCTTCCAAAACTCTTTGAAGAAATAATAACATATGCTAATTTAGTGACTTCAAAATAAAAGACTCTACACAGAAAGAAAAAGACTAAGCACATCAACATTTTATGTTTTTTTTATGTACTTACTAATTTTGGATGTTTGACATATGGAATCTCGCCTCTGAAAACTTCATATATTTGGGTTAAGTAAGAAAACATGGCAAGTGTATCAGGAACATCGCATTGAAGCATTTCTTCTCCTGTCATTATCTATAAGCAGAATTATTTTTGTCTTATTTAGATAATCTATAAACATTTAATGTTATATGATAATTTTTACTTATGACATAATATTTGTTTATTATCTAAGATAAAAAGACTAGCAGTTCAATTGATTAATATAATGTTAATGTATATTCTTTCTCTTAATTAATATTTATTATTTTGCTTAAAAAGACGCTGGAAGGACGATAGAAAATACAATATATTTACCGGCGGTATGTTCAATTCCTTTTCCAGGGTATCAAAGGCGAGTTGATTGTTTTTCACTACATCTTTCGCATTTAAGCTATAAAAATCTATTAAATCTGGACGGTATCTATGAACAATTGCACAAATAGCTAAACCATCTTTGAAAGAGGCACCCATGTCTTCGATGTGAACTTTATCGTATAATGCAACTTGCTTTTGCAGCCAGCGAAGCAATGTGTCTGGATGAACTTGACTGTCAGCTCTCAGATCTGTATAAAGGTATTTTTTTTAAATTATATAAAAAATTACAAATAGTAATTTAAATGTGAAAAAGAAACATGAGAATCACAGAATATAACTTTTTACGAGTTCAAGATTTCAATGCTCACCGCGACGTCTTCGTTTCTTTGGAATATCAATCTCTGACTGCATCGTAGGCTGTATGATGCTTTCAGGATCGTCTGTGTCGAGAAGACTACGCACTTGTATCGGAGTTACAGAACGTACATTAAGATTCGGATACCTTGAAAAAAAAAGATAGCAATAAAAAATATTTAATTATTCTTAAATTATTTTATAAGACAAACAAATTTGATAAAAAGCTCCTCTATAATCCAAATAAATAAATAAAGCTTTCTGCAAACAATTACACCATTGAATAGTGGCACATTTGGATAGTTATATTTTGTTTTTAAACGAGACATGAGTTTCTCCATTTTCTAGATATCACAGGCCTAGTTGCTTTATTCAATTGTAATTGATACCTTACCTAGTATGAGGATCCAAAGTGTATGCAGCGTAATCTCTATTCAAATTCTCTGGTGTCGTTTGGCCTAATAGCCTGTATATGGATTCACGCTCCGCAATTACTTCTAACGGTGACAACAAAGCGCCCCAACCTTTGATTGCCCAGCCTGCATCCAAAGAGCTCAGAAATCCTCTTGCGCAACCAGAGCCGGTAGGCCAAAACGGCTACAATAATTTCTGTATTAGCTTTTCATTAAAGATCAAATGAAACAAGGAATACTGAAATTAAAATAACAAAAACACGCAAATGCCGAACAAAATAATGATAAAATAAAAATAAAATAGTCTCTCTCTTTCTCTCTATCCACATTCTTTTATTATAAACGTCCTTGAATTAAAAAAAATTTTTCCCGTTAATAATCGATGTCTAAAAAATTGATCTGAATTTAAATATCGTAAATACTGTTACGTAATTTCAATTGTGTGATTGTGTGATAAGTAACATATCATTTACCTCCAAGAGGCTGTCGCCTACAAGGATCATGAGTAATCTGTGCCCATGACGCTCCAATACGCGACTAGCATTTTCCGCCGCATACATCGAAGTAAAGTCGAACATGGCTACGTCCGGTTGGCCATAGTGATTCACTGCAAATTCCATATCCATCATTTGATATTCTGTCGAGAATTCCGCCGCTTCTCGCGCGTACAACATCAGCGCCTCGCGATCCACGTTTTCTTTCGCGAGTAGTTTTGCAGTGTCAGCATGATCCTAGAAATCAATAATAATTCACTTTAATTGTCTGAGAAATAATATATAATTATAAAGTTGTTTACCTGCAGGATAACTCCTTTGTCGATTAAACTATGTTTCTTGGCAGTCATAACAAAATAGTGCGTGTCATCTTTATAATACACGATATTTTCCAAGTCGATACCAGTTTCTTGGTACAATTCTTTGAAGAATTTTTGATTAAAGATAAAGGCGACACCGCTGATCTCTTCTACACGAGCCTCTGCCTCGGTACGTTTGTTTATAAAATTCGCCGTAATGGCGATGGCTAATTTTCCTCGAAATTCCTTCCGTTTAAAACCTTCTAAGGTATTTCTCTTGCCATCAGCTCCAATTAGCACATCGAACTCGTATTGGGAAACAGGATGGTCAGGTGGTGAAGTCTTCGCTCTCCAACCAATCTCTGATGAAAATATTAAACAAAAAAAAAATTAATTTTGCAGACAAATAAAATTAAAAGAGTAATTCATTGAAAGTAAATATTTCAAAAATATGAAAAAAAAAAAAAAAAAATAATAATAAAGTAATTTTGATTCTATCCAATTATTACTTACTGCCGTCTTCCTGATTATCCGGTGGTTGAATCAGAGAATCAAAGCTTACGTTCTCGTGGAACTCGACACCAAGAATTAGAGCAACCTTTAGCAAAATACACTGCAACTGTCGAATGCTGATGTGATCTATAGAACCTGCGCAAAACTTTCCGAAAAATTTTTTCGCTCCTAAACCACGTAGATCTTGAATGACGAAAGGCCACAGGTGTAAAACATTATTTCTGGACATCCGGTCTCTTTTCTCCACCACAACGACTTTGGCTCCCAGTAATTGCGCTTCTATGGCTGTGCGTAGACCACATGGGCCACCGCCGATAATTAAAACCTTAAAAAATGTAACTTACTTTTAAAATTTCCACCCTTATTAATAAAAAATAAAAAAAATTATGGAAGGTAGAGATCAATAAATAAACTTACTCTCGTATTTGGGCATACTTTGCCACGATTATAACACTTGTGATTTGCTCGCTGATCAAACTTTTTCCACAGAGCTTGCGCTTTCCACGATCGCAATTTTGTTTTCAGCTTTGGATAAAACTGATTAATGACATTCGGTCGGATTTTCAGCAATTCGCATAGTTGTCTGTAGTAGCCAAGAATAGATTTCAACGTAGTGGCGTTGCAAAACTGGTCGAAAATCTCGCTGGCCAACGCCACCTCCGGTGAGTTAGCCGCTTGCTTCTTGCCCATTTGATCCATTGTCTTGATCTTTTGCTTTCAGTCTCATCAGTTCGTCATTATCTGGAAAAAAACACATTTTCATCTTATTTTTTTAAACAGGACTATTTACTTGAAATTTTTACTAAAAATTTAAATATACGGCAGATTTATAATATCCTCACAATTATTCCAAAAATTCTGAAATCTCCTGATATGTTAAAAACAGTGTGTGGTGTATGTGTTCCAGTGTGATAATTAAATATGAAAAAAATAAAAACTTTGTGTCTGTTTTCTAAAAAAGTATTTATCTCGTTTTCATCTATATGAAAACACAACTTTTCATACGTTCAATAAGATTGATTTATGAAAAAAGCGCAATAAATAAAAAAAAAATAAGAAGAAACGCCGAAATAAATGTTAGATTTACATTGTGCTCTTAGTGGAAAGCATGCCAAAAGTAAGCGAATCATCCGTTTCATTATCAATTCCATCGAGATGTGATTACTCTCGCTTATTCGCGGCACGTCTTTGTGAACAACCGTAATACTCTGCCATCGAAGGTGCCGATCGTTTGCGATGTTCTTCTCCGGTTCGTTGAACTTACGGTCTGATAACTATGTAGCTCGTCGCATGCATTCGCTCAACATTTCGTTGAGGAAAAAACGGAAATGTAAAAACTTTCCCATAGATTTTCGGAGGAAGTAAGCTCATAAGTAGCTTCTAATTTTTTTCTGATATTCTAACTTTGTTCTTTTATCCCAGTGCGATGAGAGAATAAAAATGTATTGAAAAAACCACGTTTTCGAGTATATTTTGAAATTTCGGAATTTTTGATTTGTTAATACATCTAATTATACACTTACATTGAAATACTACTTGGAACAAGCATGGCATACGCTATAAAACGTTGTTTTTGTATACTATTAACGAGAGTTAATAGTACTAAGGAAAGGTACTAATGAAATAACTTTTAGGTAAACTAATGTAGAAATAAATATATCTTAACGTTTGTTATCTATTCATTTAAAATTGATTTAGAATTAAAATCAAAACGATACCGTTTAACTATATCACTTATTTAATTCAGAAAATATTGGAAATTATCTTGTGTGTATAAAAGCATTTGATTTATCATTTTCGTTTCGTGAGAAGAATATACTGACTAATGTTGTTAATTATAACCATTGAAAATAAAAATGCTTTTGTGTCATTTTCATAACACACGACATGTTTTTATTATCAATGTTTTATCTTGAATGTGAATCAATTAACTCGGCTGTAGCGTTAAATGCTGTTCATTGTGCTCATCATTATCCTCAATGTATCGCTGTAATTAGCATTGTATAGTCTGGATATTTGTTTGAAACTTTCGATGCTGCATTTCTGGCTAAATTATTCTAAGAATATTTTAAGAAAAATATTTTTAATAAAAAAAAGCAGAAAAGGATAATCAAGATAAGATAACGAATAAACATTTCTGATGATATATCATATATATTATTTTTATAAGTAGAATAACTAACGAAATATATTGATCAGGAAAGTCATATGATTCCTCATTTAAAAAGATGAGGGTGAGTCACATCTGGCGAGCAACTCCATCTAGAACAAAGTTTTATACTATGACACTAACAATAAGATATTCCCCTCCAAACAAAATGCTTTTGATAATTATTTTGGGCAATACTACTACTTTCGAAAATAATCCTATAGAAGAAGTAAAGTAAGATATGCAATGTATGTATGTATATATATATATGGTGTTAAAAAAAAATATATATATATATATATATACACTTATGTATACATATACTACATGTGATATATCTAATGATGCATTTAATTCGGTGACGATACGTAATAGGTATTCGGAATTTGATGTGTGTATAAATAAACTTACTCTTATATACTGTGCCCGTATATAAGATACTTGAATGTAACGCGTGTATGTACGAGTGAATCTGCATCTATATGCAGTATGCACCCACGTCACGTCATGCCTGTCTTGAGAGAGATATAGAACAGTGAGGGATGCTATGCGTGCTATGCGTACGTACATACATACTTGTATGAAGGGCTGCGTCACGGCCGTGACACGCTGCGTACAATCGTGTGACGATATGTCGAGACTGCGCTCTCCCTCTCTCTCTCTCTCTCGTAGCGCTCCCCACAGCGCGCTTTCGTAGGATCTCTTTCTTTTTATGGCTCGCACTCACGTCGCACAAAATACACACGATGAGGGAGAAGGATGGGCGATATAGAAGAGATGGGAAGGCTTCGGGGGCGTGACACGCTCACGCACCACGGAAACATCGGCGGAGTTCCATCGTTCACACGACCGCGACGCCCAAACCGCCCAGTCGACCTATTTCAACTGGATCGCGATGCAACTCAATGCAACTCACCACGGCGACTGACGGCGACGCGGATCCAGCGTTGATCATTCCCTACGAGCTACGACTGCTACGAGTAGTGCAAGTCCTATGATCAGTCTGTATAGCCAGGCTCGATCCGTTCGACTGCACGGCACGTACTAAATTAAAGTACATATGTCGAGTCAGTAGTCACGAGTCACGTCACGATGTCAGTCATAGAATGTCGTATCGTGGGATTCGTGGGTCGTGGGCTACCGTAGCTGCAGTGTCGTAGCTCGCGACTCGCAGACACTCGTGGAACGTCCGCACTCCGCGGTACATACATGGTATGTGTACATACAATGACATACAATACATCAGTGATCAGACATCTTATAATACATCGAGCAGTGAGCAGTGGCGACATCCACGTGTTTTGCATTAAACACTATTACCAACGAGGTGGTTACCGACCATGGCTAAATTTTTGTAACTGCATAAGTGGATCCGGGGGTAATTGAAGAACGACATTACCAACCATTTTGGTTATATACCGTGCGAGGATAGCAAACACGTGTACTACTATATTAAATCATTATTTTATTATTGCGGCAATAAAATAACATGTTAATTATTTTTCAATTTTCGCAATGCTACTGTACATATATGGCACGTATATGGTGTACGTACATACAACAAACGTTGTGAAAAATGAAAATTAAAAAATATATAGTGATATAATTAATATAATTGTTATCCTCGGTACAGTCAAAATCGCGCGTTGATAATGTCATCGTTCTTCGATTACTCTCCCGTCGAGTTTCTCGAGCTACGCGAAACCCTGTAAGACCAACTATGCTTCTTTTAATGATACCTCTATATTTTTAATATTACTGAGAGATGATTTAATTCGCAATTCTTATTATTTTGTTTGTTTTAAGATTAATTTTTCATATTTCCACAAACAAGAGACTAACTATAATAACAGAATGTTGAAAGCCTTCTACGATTGGCCCATTAGCTCAGTTGGTTAGAGCGTCGTGCTAATAACGCGAAGGTCGCGGGTTCGATCCCCTCATGGGCCATTTTTTTTATCAATTTTGATATAATCACATTTTTATTGCGCATGCGTAAAAGATCTGCACATTGGTGGCAATCCAAATGGGCTAGAATGCAATGATGCATTCTGTTTTATAAGATGTGTCGTTTCATCCTTGTTCACTGAATTAATGTTAAGCAAGAACACACCTTGTTCTCACATATGTACGAATAGAAATAAAAGGATAAGTTGTTACATTTAAAGCTATATATGCTATACATATATCGTTTTAAATTACACGCTAGAGATAAGAGGAAAGAGAAGACGAGATAAAGAAGAGAAAGATTATGCACAAAAAATTGGTTTTTAACGTATTGATTTTATTTTGATGTTTTTCTTCTTTTTAAATCTCTTTAATATAAAATCTGTTTAACGATGCCACACATTCAACTATCTCTCTCTCTCTCAGGCAAAAGTTGTTTTTGCTTCCTTCCGTTTATATACACGATTAGGTCTAAGGCCGTAGTTGTTTAACTTTCTTTTCCCAATCGCGCGGTATCGAGCGTGGTCGAAAAATTTATCTGAACGGAGCCTTCTACAAGGGAAAGCCGAGATTAGTGGCTGGAAAGAGACATTAGGGGAAGGAACAAACAAGTATTTTACACCTCTCTTCTATTGGGCTCAACATCAGTGTGCCTCGTGTCATTAAATTCCGATAGAAATCGTTTGGCATCATATATCTCTAATTTAAAATAAACAAACGATTTTTCTATTCTTTCCATTTTTAATCCTGCCCTCCCGCCGTCCCTTGTTTCGATTTATAACATACGCTGATATACGTAACGTGTTCTCTACGCGTGGTCACGCAATAATATAAATTTAATCCTTTCGAATCTAATCGAGCAAGTACGGCGGAATCCCTTTATTCTGAATATTTATATTCAGTCGAGCGGAGTAAAGAGCCTGCCTTAAAAAGAGTTGGCGACTGTGTGTGTATGTGTGTATATAGTTCAACTGGAGAGATACGAGACCGGCTCTTACAATTTTTTTTTTTCGCCTCCAATCTCATCCCTTGTCCTATAATTGGCAGTATACGCTACGTTCAGATAGATTTTTCAAGTCCACAGTATCGAACGTCCACGTTGTCACTTATTAGAGACAAGAGGTACATAATTAACAAAGGATTCGTGCGCATTCGTAACTTAATCGTATTGCTCCACCAAGTCTCACGCCAAGTAGCGTTATCTTCGGTACAATTAATAACAATTTTATGACAATTTCATTTCCTATCAAGATTACGCACGTCGTTTCATGACAAGTATCGCGTAATGAAATGTAATAGTTAAATATAAGAAGTGACGAAGCCTCATCATGTTTTCTTTCCTACATCTCATACAGAGGTGTATGCCAAATATTTAGTAATTCGATTTCTAGACAGCAACAAAGCTAAATAATATCGAATTTTTTTCTTAAATGTTCTGCATTCAAAATTGTGCTCTTCGTTCGATTGTGCTCTATTCGATTCCGCATGTTATCGTGTAGCATTAGAAAATTGAAGAGAAAAAAAAAACCAGGTCGTATCGAAGCATTAGGGCGCAGTACAGCAATTAGGTGAGTAGAGTTTACTATTGAAACAAATTATTAAAGCTTCGATAGTAAACTCGGCTGAAGGTATGCAAATTATGTACCTCTCGAATGCCTGCTGTTTGCACCGTTAACGTTAGCACGATTTGTCGATGTGCAAATGTTGTATCTCGCATACTCGGTGTAATCTTTCGCGTTCACACACAAAGATCCTGCGCGTATCAACATCTTGTAACAAAACTCATTATCAACAAATCGCAGAATCGCTAGTGTTTTACCCTGCAAGCCGTACTCCAGCTTCGTTAATTATCGCTCGCTTCATTCAAATCAAACTCGAAAGAGTCGCGATCGCGTGATCCTATACATATTTTCTTTTCTCCGAAATCATTCTTATTGAATTAATAGAATTAACAGAACCCAATCACGGACAGAAAAATATGCCATGTACTCCGATATATACTTTGTGTTCTCATGTAATTTCAATAAATTCATCTCGATTAAAGATAACGGGAAAAAGAAGAGAGAAACAGAAAAAAATGAGAGATGGAGAGAGAAAGAATTCGCTCACGTGATCTCAATCGTGTTTTTCTTCGCTGAAATGTTGGTTGTTACTTGACAAAGTAGTGCAAGCTATGAGTTTGTGAGTATGAAAAAATTGAAACTCTTGAATTTAAAATACGTCTATTAAACGACCGCGGTCTCGCGTATTCTTCGACACATTAAGCACTACTTGATAAAAGTGCAAAAAGGTCGTTCTTTCTTCGATATTCGATATACATACATGCTAATCTGATAAAAAAAAAAAAAACTTGGGTAATTTTGTGAAATTGCATAATGATAAACACTATCATTTTACAATTTTAAAACTTGATTAAAATAATCAACGAAATTTTTAAGAGACTCGATACACAGGTTATAGGTCATTCAACGATTGACCTACATTTGAATAATAAGTTACTTTCAAGATGGTCAACATTCTCCAATCATTTAAAATCATTTACAGTGTACCATCCGAAATATATCATTGCTTCAGATTGATTACCGGCTGTGAAAATATAACTGACCTTTCTTTTCCTCTCTGATTGTCTAACCAAACGAGTAACATATACGAGTTAATTTTAAACTGTTGATCAACGTAGAAAGTTGATTGATGTTTAATTTATATTGATTAGCGATCGATTGCGGCTGGAATAAATTGAGAGCGCGAAATTGAAGCGAGCGATTCTTTGAACAATCGACATGCCATCGTGAAAGTAACTCAATTTTGAAAGTCTTATCCTACCTTCTGAAAATACTAATGCATTCTTCCTTATCTTCCTTTACTTATGTCACGGCTACTGATTGTGCGGTAAAATGACGGGTATAGTCTGCTGCGCACCCGGAGGCGGCTGTGGTGGCAGGTATTGCATGTGTTGTGGCGGAATTGACGGTATATGTGATGGAATTATAGGGCACATGATCGGATAACTCGGCGCGTGACCTTGCGGCGGAGGTTGCGGATACGTAGGCTGTGGAGTACCGGGTGGATTATAAGCGCCCGGGGTGTGTGGTTGATTTGGATTGGCCGGGGACGGCGTTTGGCTAGGTGGCTGTTGAGCTACGTGAGGATGCGGATGAGTGTGCGGGCCCATATATTGTATACCGGGGGCTTGCGGCCCTTGCGAGTCATGATGATGATGGTACGGAGTGGCCATGTGCGGTGGTGGCGGTGCCTGGACCATTCGTACCATTTGCTGGTACGCCGGTTGTCCTGCATAAGGCACCTGGAATGGATGTATAGCTGGCGCTAATAACGGCTGTCCCGTTGCTGCGGCTACTTGCATCTGAGACGCTATATCTGGCGCACGATGCTGCATCATTGGCACTGTAAAAATCGTAATAACATATCGTCATATACATATTGTTTTACAATATTCGCCAATGTGCGTGCGTGCGTGGGTGCGTGTGCGTGTGTGCAGTGCCACTGCAATTATTCCAATCGACAGAGATAGAAAAAGAGAAAAACTACATCTAATCTTATTGTCAAATCAACTTGGAAAAATTAGTAATTTTAAAAATTACAATATAAATTAAGGCTAATGAGAGTCAAAAGAAGTTTTCGGTGCTCAAATCATATCATATGTTGATAATCATTATAATACTAACGATAATTGAAAACACAACGTTTCGACTCTCTTTCAAGTCATCCTCAGTGTACCTCCGAAGATATAAATGCGATAATTATCTCTTTAAATGCGAATACATCTCCTGTGGTACGCTGAGGATGACTCGAAAGAGAGTCAAAATGTTATGTTTTTTTATTTAATTATCGTTAGTATTGTAATGCATTAATGTAATGATTATTAATATATGATTTGAGCACCAAAAACTGCTTTTGACTGTTATTAGCCTTAATTTATATTGTAATTTTTAAATTTGAGAGTCCATTATATTCAATATTGAGTAATTTTAAATTGTAAGATTCGCAAAAACAGATTGCTCGGAATATAGTAAACTTTGAAGAAACTTTTCAAATCTATACCGAGTATTGAAATAAAAAGAGATAATTACGTATTAATATTTGAATCTTACAAGTCATATTATTACATGACACACACAAAAAAACTCGAGATACAAATGCATCGAGAATACCTAAGAAACACTGACCTTTCCGGAACCTCGCCACTTGTTGAGCGGGTGGTTGACTGAAAGCTGTTGGCGTTACGTATGCCGGCATAACAACGGTCGCGGGCATAGTCGCTCCTGTATACTGAGGAGTTTGTGGTGTATGCGGTCGACTAGGCGTCGGTGTGCTTGGTGAGCGCTATACATTGTAAAAATACAAATCTTATTGTTTCTATTTCAGTTCAACTTTTCATAACAAGCTAATGTATATTACTTACCGGCGTGAATGGTTTGGCATTTGGATTGAATTCTTTAGCATTTGGATTTAAAGTAGATTTCTTAAAAGCAGTAGTTATCTTATCGACCGCGGGCTCCGGTGGAGATTGTTGCACTGTCGGAGTATTAGTCTGAGGTGGTTGTGGTGGCGGTGGTTGTTGTTGTTGTTGTTGTTGTTGTTGTGGTGGTGGTTGTTGTTGTTGTTGTTGTTGTTGTTGCTGCTGCTGCTGCTGCTGCTGCTGTTGCGGCTGAGGTGGACTTGTGGATCTTACTAACGCACCAGGTGGTGGCTTATTGGTAATTGATTCCTCTTGTACAGTTTGATGTTGCTGATGAGGACTGGTATGCTGCTGTGTAGGTGGCTGTTGTTGCGGTGGACTCGTATGTTGATGGGGACCTTGATGATGTGGCTGATTCAGTGATGTAACAGAATGTACATCTTGTTGATGCTGATGCTGTTTTCTGGATATTTGAGGGGTATCTGGTGGTCCCTGCGATGCTTCCGCTAATTTGAATTCTGCAGCGAATTGCCTCAGTTCCGAATGCTGTTCTTCTCTTCCTCGTGGTGTTGGAGCCTTAAAGTAAAACTTATAGGCATATATGAGTTGCCCCGCGATTAAAAAAAAAAAAAAGAAAGACAAGAATTTAAATAAATAAGAGTACGTGTCGTACCTTTCTATGATCCGACTTATGTATGACTATTTGCCCCTCTACAGAGTTCTGTTGCGTCAATGATGTATGTTGCTGATGCGTAGATTGTTGTTGTTGTTGTTGCTGTTGTTGCTGCTGATGTTGATGATGAGAAGACGCAACGTTTGATTGTGGAAAAGGCGCTGGTGGCGCTTTATCAGCTTGATAAACTTGCTGTCTGCCAGGCCGCTCACGTTTCTCTGTATTTATTTTACTCGGAGGTGTCTGTTGTTGTGCCGGAAAGCTTACTTGCGGCATCGAAGGAGTAACTTGAGATTGTGACTGATTCTGCTGGATTACTATATCGAGAAAAAATTGTGTAATCATTATTATGCCTTTCGTAAAAAAGTATTATTTAATGTGCCTCCATTGTACATTCGCTACATAGAAAGAGCCACATTTTTACATTTCCCGGAAATAAATGTACGTTGTATATTAAGAGAGTTATGGTTAATTGAAAATTATTATACTGCGAGATATTGCAGCGTCTACTATTGATAAACTTGGCAAAATCGATTTTTTGAAACGATAATCTTAGAGTACAAGATTGTAGGTACGAGCGAGTGCAAACAAATAACATACCTTGCTGTGACTGCGTCGTTGGTGGAGGTACAAACGGCGGTGGTGGATTACTGTATGTAACAACCACTCCGTTGGGCGGCATACTCATATTTAGGGATACCGAGTGTTGCACCGATGTATGAGCAGGCTGTACTCCGACCGACATGCTCGGCTGTGGGACATTTACATTGGCCGTGGACGGAGAAGGTTGACTGTAGACATTCTTATTATTTGTGGTTCCTGGCGAAGACGGAGGCTCACTGGATCTCATGAGTTTGTTAGTGTTACCATTTTTCTTTTTTAACGGTGGCGGAATATATTTTCCTTCGGTGGGTCTCGTCTAGAATGGGATCAATAAGTACTTAATAAAAATACAAAGCTGATGGATAAAAGGAAAAATTGTAAAATATAATCTAAAGCACTTACCACAGCTGCAAATCTTTCCTCCTCATCGCCATTTTCCAGTTCTAATCTAGCTTTATGATTTGGTTGAGATTCGATCTCATTTGCTATTTCAGCAGCCTTTTGTTCCTGTTCCTTATAATCCTTTGTGTCTTTACGTTGTAGTTGTAGAGTATAACCAACCAAGGAAGGCTCAAACGTTGTTTGAACTCCATATTCTTGTTCATTTTTACGAAACATTTCATTCACGTCCCAACCATTCTGAAAGAGTTGAGAAAAAAACAATTTCATACACACAACTCGTTTGCAACAGATAGAACTGATAAGTGTCCCTGTTAAAGTAGTCGAAATAAATGTACGAGTGCTTACAGCAGCACCATCCAATTCTAAATCAGCCCCGTTCATGGTAGTCGGTGGATCCCAAGGTTCGAGTTCCTTTTCGCCGATTAAACCATTAAACTTACTAATGGCTGTATCCGTTTGGAAAGTATCTCTTATAGCATAATCTAAATCAACGTCCTTGGCAGATATAGTAACAACGTCTTGTGGTTTAAAAATTAATTTCTCTACTACGCTATCTACACTAATCTTTCCCGAGCTCTCCACACGATGAGCCATCTCCAGCACTACGTCAAATTGACTCGAAAATGTTCTAAATACGCCTTCGTACACCGAACCATTTTGAGTTTGAATCTGAGACAGAAAAATAAGAAAAGGAGATTTAACGTCACGACGTTAAATTCCGTAGTTTCAACATTGAGCGAACTATGCAGCACTACATTGTATATGCATACAAAGTTATCTGCCTGGTACCTGCACTATGTTGCCAACGTGGCTAGTGACTGCATGCATAAAATGAGCATTGTTATAAACTCCCTCGGCCGTGACGCATCTCTCTTGCGGCCCACGTGCCCGTGGAGATCTGGAAGAAGGCACGGATTAAAGAAAACGTTATTTTTAATCATCGATACGTCTCATTATGTTTTGGATATTATACCTGCTAGTATGATCTTGACGAGGAAAGCCAAGTGATTGGCAGTACCTGTTATTGTTCGTACGGTTCTTCCTCTTGTTGTTCATTTTGCCCGACAGTTGTTGGTCAATCGCCGATGGATTTCTGCCGCCGGTTTGTTGGAGGCTCTCTCGTTTTCTAGTAGGGACCGGAATTTTGACTACTTTCCCGATGACCGCTTGACGTCGAAAAGATCCGTTTTCTCGTCCGTGGATGTCACGGACACGCGGATGTACGGATATGCGGGTTCGGGAGTGGGTGCGACCGCAGCTGTCGCTGCTGCTGCTGTCTATTTACTTATGCGACGCTTTTACGTTCGACGGCAACGCGTGATTTCTCGCGAGATGACGCAGACGACGAACGCAACGAGATGGAGAAAAGAGACGAAGATGAGGATGTGGGTAAAGTGAACAGGATGAAAATGATGGAGATAAAAATGAAGGTAAAGATATTGAAGATGAGGACGAGGAGGCAAAGGATAAGGAGAGGGAAAAGGAGGAAAAGGAGGTCGCGAGGACTGCGAAAACTATCAACATTCACGAAGGCTTTTAGGTTATATTCAAACTAGTTGGAATGCAAAGTGGGCGAACGTACGACACGCGAGACACGATTCAACTCGAAGACTGCGTGTGACTTTTAATCGCGGCTCGCGACAGAAGTGAGACGCTGTCTCGCGACTGATGAGCGAGACTACAGCTCAGGCTCCAAGATAATCTCTCGGTAAAAACGCGAAGGACGCGCGTACACACGACGTGACGGAGGTGGAAATGTATTACACACACAGTACCAGAGGATGCGAGCGCGCAAGCTGGCTTCAACCGACCGCTTCACCACGCTCGTCACTCGTGTGTCACGACGATACTCGACGATTGTCAACGACCGCGTGACGTAATGCTCCTTTTGCAGGCGACGGCTGCTCTTCGATTCAGGGTACAGAGAAAGTTGCGTGCTGCAGTTTGCCCGTCCCCGTACGTACAACTCTCGCAGTTCGCACGGCCAACGGGGTTTACGGGACGGGGCTCTCTTCTCACACACGTCTCTAGGGAAGAGAAAAGGAGAAAGAAAAACAGAAAGTTGGGAGGGAGAGAGAGAGAGAGAAAGGGAGGGAGAACGTACCAACGAGACTGACGGTCCGCGAACGACGCGTGCCAAGTGGCGGCGAAGGTGGTCCGCGAAGATGCGCGTTTCTATCTTTCCCCGTTTTCAACTATTCGACATGTGGCGAAATGTGATACTCGATAGATTTGCAATCTCTCAACGTACCTACAAGTCGCCTGATCAACCTGATCACGGTGACTCTTGGACGCAGTCGCCACCTGGTGAACGCCTGTCCGCGCGCGGCCCCCGTTCGTTCGTGGCTCGCTTAGATCGAACCACGAACTCTCGCGACGCTGCAACCAAACGACTGCAACGAATGACCGTCGCGTCGTGTCGCGCGCGCGTATCGCCAAGTATGTAGAGCTTGTAGCGCGTTTCGGACAATTCGGACATTAACGGACGAGAATCCAGTCGACCAATCAGTGCCCGAGTTTTGCACGGAACTCTGTAGACCGGATCGATCTACAAAAATTCGACCAGTAGGACAAAGCGTAAAAAGAGAGCTGATCCGTATATTCACACTCAACTTATAGTTTTCTATTTAACTGTTCGAAAAAAACTTTTGCTAACAATAAACCAAGGAAAATTCATCTCGACACTCTTGACAGAAAAGGAGAAGCCAATCAAAAGTTGCACTTAAGTGCTATACACATTTGCTATACTTGATAACCATGCAAGTACAACTTCTGATTAGCTTCTGCTTTATTGTTTCTGCTTTTCTGTCAAGGTGTCAACTCTCCCTCACACGTAAGGACAAAATAATTATATTCACAAGCGCTGTAATCGAACACAGCCATTATCTGCAAAGTTTAGTGCGTGTAGGTAAGTATACAATACGTATATGGATATATTATCGACATACGTATGTATATCGATAATACCAGTTAATGCAAAATTGTGCGATAATTCATCGCTAGATGGCAATGTATGTGTTCTTCAATCTTCATAGTAATGAATAGAATCATTTACTTTCATTCTCTTTCAATTCTTTATGAGAGAATGGATAAAATAATTATTATTACCTATAATTTGGAAATTTCTTGTTAAGAATGTGAGATTTATAAATGCAAACGGATTTCGGCGACATTACTAAACGCATAGTCGCGCTATGTATGTGCATACATATATACATACATCATACGATCACGTACGTAAAATATATTATACATATATATATGCGTTATAAAATATTATAATATTACTAGATTATTTATTTATATGTATGTATATGTACATATATATTCTTTTTTATCTCAATTCTTTTTCTTATTATATAATCTCTCTTATTATTATATATATATAAATCAAGTTAATTTCTTTATTATAGAAATGGAATGTACGTTTTTTGTTAATAATTAATATATTAATTAAAACAAGTAAAAATAATAGTTTTTAATGTTTTACGCATGTATATATATTACACGTTACGTACCTATATATATATATAAAATTATATGTGCTATACTGCATATGTGTATATATACATGTTATATATATATATATATGTGTATATATAACATATATATTTATATAGATTATTATAATATTATATAATTATGAGATAATTTTGTATCCTAATATATGTATATATATAATATTATAGATATATTAATACCACATTATTAAGACATATATATTAATATATTATATATATATTTTTTTTTCATTTTAACCGTATATAAAGGAGACTCGAAATAATAATTTTCTAGCTATTAATTACGATTTAGAGTAAGACCCGTGATATCTTTCATTATCGTCCATATCGTAAATTGCATTGAGCTTGCGAATGATGTTTTTTGTTCTGTCGTAAACAAAATTATCCATTTGGCCCAAAACATTGACGAACTCGATTATTTTTTCAAATCCACGATTTATCCTTTCAGATCTTTCAACGTCAGATATGGTTCTCTTTATTTGGAATTGTGATTCGTTTTCCAGTGAATCCGTAGACAATTTTTCAGATTTATTCTGCGCCAAATTTTCAGCAGCGTTGGCAAGTGATATCTGGCAAGGTAATTTGACAAGATTTTTATTAAAGACGGATACACACTATGATACACATTATCTTTATGATCATGAAATTAAATTAAAACAATTACGTGCGTAATCTGTACGCTAATTTACTTTTGGCCTTACCATACACATGATAGAGACTGAGAGAAAGATTATATCCACCTTGACAAAATGCGCACTCATATCTGCAGTCTAACTCCGTCTAACTTCCTTTCTAGAAACAATTAAAACTCCAAAGTTTTCATAAAATAACAATTGACAAGAATAATTGACACTCTCGTTGATTCAATATCGGGTCCTTAACTAACAATGAAACGATTCGACGAGTCCCATCCTTTTATATATAAGAATCGAATATGCGCGCGTATATGCATATTACTGTATACGTGAACGAAAGCATTTTTACATTTCATACATTAATACCTTTTTACATTCAAATTAATTAATTTAATTGAACATGTAGAATAACTCTAATACGTCGATCAAAAGTAATTAATGGATCATGAATTATATACACATTGACAAGTCATTTTTAAACAATTTTTTGCATGAATTAAAATTGATGCGTTTGATTTATAGGTCACATCGGCGAATTCTTTTTGTAATAAGTAGGTTTCACTGACGTTTGCAGTGCGAAAGCAAAGCGGAATGTGCTGATTAGGTATAATCACTTGTTTTGTCGTTTCTAAATCTTATTACTAAATCCAATGATACTGCAGGTAAAGAAAAATTACTTTTGACTTGACTGCGTTGACTGAGATGGCAAATGCAACATTAATTCATTAATATTCTCCGTGATATATTTTCACTCATACATTTCTTTACACTTAGAACTCACCATACATCTATAATAAAAATGCCGAAGACTTTTTTATTAGAGATATAAGAATGAAACTATACACTATTCTTTTTATTTCTCTTCAAATTTTCTCTCGAATCAATATTTTGGTATAAATAATTAACAGCTATAAGTTATACATACAAATATAAATTGAAAATTAGGTGCTAATAAAAGAAAAGTATTTATTGAAAACAGCAACATATACAGTGTGTCTGTGTGTGTGTCTGATTTAATGTTTAAGATAACATTATTTAAAAACGTTTATTTTGATAAATGAAAGCTGCCAACAATGTACATTAATTAATTATTATAATCGTCGTGTACATTTGAGTTTTATCTCAAGTCGTTAATTTCAAATTAGATATCACTTAGAATGACGTTTAAAACGTGATATTGACGGTGTTTTCAATTTTCTCTCGATGCCGTTGGGATGCGGAAATTCTGCTCCTCGACATCGTACTGTATAAAATCGTATATGTCGATCTTCAGGCGTTTGCAAATATTTATCAATTTGCCAGAAATACGATAATACGATACGTCACGATGCAACGATGATTATCCGGAAAACCGATTTTTAATTTCGATTTACTCTCATGTTCGCCATTTACGTAGCAAAGAGAAGGGATTCTACAAATACTGTATTAATTTTTAATATGAGTTGTAAATATCAGTTTGAGCAAATGTCGATTCTCGATCACATCGCTAATAATATATTATATTCGATAATAAATACAGAATTTTTGTATGTGCGATATAAATATGGTATAAATTCCCATTATAAACTTTTTATTACCGCGCGACATTGTTTTACTGCAATAGCACGTGTCTTATCAAGTACATTCATATCAAGCGTATATATTTCTTTGTGCAATTATTCCGTTTGTATGCTTAGAAGACATTTATTTTATCGCGCGCGCGCGCGTGTGTGTGTGTGTGTGTGTGTGTGTGTGTGTGTGTGTAACTTACTCTTTTAGTCTTTAAATTAATTTTTGCGTTCAATGCAATTGATATACATCATACATGTCAATTAAATTGGCAGGAATGATTATAGTTTTAAGCATTATTAAGTCGATATTTATAATTGTATGATCGGAGGACGTCAATCATTCTTTCTCTGAAGAATATGACATGTTGACTTTTTTGCCAAATCAGATGATACAAGATTATTAAAATGAGATTTAATTTAATCGCTGCACACTTTACGTAAACTACGCAGCCAACTTTTATTGTAAGATTAATATTTCATTGTATTAACATATTAAAACCTTAATGAAAATACAAATCGGAGTGTAACGTAAGCGTTGAGGCTTATTTTACATTCCGCTATTTCAATTTTTTCGTCTCCTAGAATAAGTTTCGTTTATGCTTATTCTGTCACTCTCCTCTTTATATACGTTCGACTTACGCTCCGATTTTTATTTTCACTAGGGAATTTATTTTAAGTAATTGAAGATTGATTAGAATCAGTTATATCTTCAATGTTGCAACATATATGCATATATTAATTACGTATATATGTACATTGGTTTCTGTGATGCGACTTATTGCATAAATCGGAAAAAAAAAGAAAAAAAATGCAAGTTAGCGGTTCTAAATGATTTTAAGAATTATTTTGAGAATCACTAATAAACACACATAAGAGCATTAATTAAGGAATAATATGAATAATATAGGGTAATTTAGGGAAACAAACAAGGAATACAACGATCAAGTACTTTTATTAACAATCCAATTTATCAGTTATCAATCGTACGCTTACGATACGACATGAAATGACGCTGATTGGATAACTTGGCGAAATTTGATGTCTCCGTGTAAATTTGTTCGAGATGTTTCGCACGCAAGACTATTAATGTAAGAACAAATTAATTTCCTTAATTTTGTGGTTGCGGCGTCGTGGCTTGCTGCAACTGATTGTTTAGGTTCTGCGAAGCCTGGACAGCAATATCGATCGCTTGCTTGGTAAACTTGGCAATACCCTCTTGAACCTTACTGGAATTCTCACTGATGGTCTTGGCAGCGTTCTCCGATTCGGTCACAAGAGTCTGAACACCCTCTTGAAACTTGGTACGTAGCTGATTTACCTGTTCCGTCGTCTCAGGATTGACATTTAGATTGTCGAACGTTTCGGACAACTTGTTTTTCATATTTGTCCAAAGGTTTTCCAACTCAGGGCTCTTAGCTTTGATCTGCAAACGATCCAGCATGCGTACAGCCAAGAGTGTTTTATCTCAAGCTTGAGAGAGAACGGATTTTTTATCGAAATAATTCCAAGTATCGGGAGATATAAAATTTAACTAAATATACACGGATGTAAAGACAAAATGCAAAGGCAATGTCATACTCGAGAATCGCAAAAAATTTACACATTAGCAGAGGTATGTATATGCAAATTTACAAATAATTTCATGTACTTATATATAATGCTTATTCGACATACATACCGCGCAACATTATTAAAGTATCGGATTGTTCGATTTATATATAATTTTAAGTGTACGCGATATTTATCGTTAAATAAGTTGTAATATATACGTATATATTGTCACGATTATTTATTTTGTAATGTTTTTGACCAAAAACATACATTGTATGACGTTGTACATTTAAGATTAGTAGATTTTTCTATTCTTCAAGCAGAAAAATAATTAAAAAACGTATCAATGTAATTCATCTTTTTTTTAATAATTGTTTTTATTTTGGTACACACAGACATATTATAATTATTTATGACTTTGCTGTATTGCTCATAACGCATCGATATCAATGATATTTTGAATCGTTGTATGTACATACATAAATTGCACTGTAAATTTTCTCGTTTTCGATACTGGTCAATTCTTTTGCCCAATCGCGTCGATTGCCTCTTTAAGAATTGATTTAGAAGAATAGATCGAGGAGCTGAACGCTTTCTTTTGTCAGTTTGCTCAAAGAACGAACGATCCTTTATGTCTTTACATGGATAATTAAGCGTTGCGCCGATGTTCTTTTATCTCTAATTTCGAAAATGTGCCTATCTCTAGAGCTCTAGATATTAGAGGTAGCGCGTCGATACTGCGAACAAATAAGTCAGAGTTTAATCTATATATATATATATATATATCTGTCTCTTATAC